TTGAGCGAACCATGAATGCCAACATTTACTGTGACATACTGAAGCAGAGCATGATCCCCTCCCTTCGGAGACTGGGCCGCAGGGCAGTATTCCAACATGATAACGACCCCAAACACACCTCCAAGACGACCACTGCCATGCTAAAGAAGCTGAGGGTAAAAGTGATGGACTGGCCAAGCATGTCTCCAGACCTAAACCCTATTGAGCATCTGTGGGGCATCCTCAAACGGAAGGTGGAGGAGTGCAAGGTCTCTAACATCCACCAGCTCCGTGATGTCGTCATGGAGGAGTGGAAGAGGACTCCAGTGGCAACCTGTGAAGCTCTGGTGAACTCCATGCCCAAGAGGGTTAAGGCAGTGCTGGAAAATGATGGTGGCCACACAAAATATTGACACTTTGGGCCCAATTTGGACATTTTCACTTAGGGGTGTACTCACTTTTGTTGCCAGCGGTTTAGACATTAATGGCTGTGTGTTGTGTTATTTTGAGGGGACAGCAAATTCACACTGTTATACAAGCTGTACACTCACTACTTTACATTGTAGCAAAGTGTCATTTCTTCAGTGTTGTCACATGAAAAGATATACTCAAATATTTACAGAAATGTGAGGGGTGTACTCACTTTTGTGAGATACTGAATATACACACACTCACACACACACACACACACTACCGGTCAAAAGTTTTAGAACAATAATATTTTTGGCGGATACCTAAAATTCTAAATCAAATAGCTAAATGATCCATGGTATGACCATCTTAAAACAATTCCATATGTTAGTACCCCCCTTCCCCCCAATGGCTTAGACTTTTAGAGTTGAGGTTAATGACATTATTCATGGTGCTTTACTAACAGTATTTCCCCCTTATGGCAACTATCCTTCTAATAAGGCTAATTATTTTGGGATCCTGGAGACCAGGAGCTATAAGTGAGTACGTGTCCCATGTTGAGCTGCCCTCCAAATTCGCTACAACACCGCTATTTTGCAGCCCATTATAAAACACAGACTAAACCTATAGCTGCCCACTGTAGGCTAACAGTAGGTTACAGTGGGCAAGTGAAAGTAAATTAGACTATAGCATAACGGCATTATAGGCCTATCCAATGGCTGCGGGAGGAGTGAAGCAAGGATTTTACGCAAGCGTCTGTTGGAGGAGAGGCAACTCAAGGACCACTCCTGCAAAGCAGCATATAGATGGTGTTTGATGATTAATGATGATCAATGATCATAGGCTATAGAAATAATTACTGATCTGACATGACTTGGTTGGTAGCCTAGCGTAAAATCTCCTTTCACGCATCTATCGATGAGGTCTTCAAGGATGGCATGCATAGGTTATCCCAAAACAGGGACATAGTCTCCGTTATAAGCTATGCATCCGTCTCAGCTATACCGCTAACGGCTACTTGTTCATCGTATAGAGGCTAGTGTCTACTCAAGACATGTAATTGGTTATAATAATGGACCGTAAAATTGCAGTCTCAGACGGGGCTTTACTCAAACCCGTGTCCTGTGGCTATGCAAGCTGCAAGGTGTCCATCACAGCCCTTGATCACGACAGGGAAGCGCTCTCCTTCACGACGCAATCCGTGCATTAGGCTACATTCACATGATCAAATCAAATCACATTTTATTGGTCACATACACGTTTAACAGATGTTATTGCGGGTGTAGCGAAATGCTTGTGTTTCTAGCTCCAAGCCTAGGTCTATGAGGCTACTTCATTGGACGTGTGCATAAAACACCACTCCATTACACACAGATTTGTAAGTTAACATTCCGTTTGGACATATAGGCTAGGCCTAGCTGTTAGACTGTCTATGCAAGGTGTTGGCATACGCAGGGGATTGAGCATAACATAGTAGCGAATTCGAAGGGCAGCCTGCAGGGCCTGATGCACGCAACTTCTTCATGGTCAGTCTTCACAGTCAGTGATAGTACCAAGAGTTAACTCCACCCGGTGTCCTGACAACGCAACATGGCCGTTAGAATGGTATGGCATTCTGGTGTGTGTGTGTGTGTATCTATGTTTGACTTCGCCTCCAAGGACCACATTAATTTAATACTGCATTGTATAGTGTAGGCAAAGCTAATCTCCCCCACATTGAAGTGGTAGCGTCCACTTGAACCACATAGCCTACTTAGAAATCACCCCGTTTTCCCAGCCACACCAATAATTCAACTTTCATTTTTCAAACGAATAAAGGCACATTTGAATTATTTTTATCCAAATCTCAATTTTACAGAGTAGAAAAATTTGAAATGTAAAATTCAAACAGTTTTCTATTATTCAATTTAAACGAGTGGATCAGAAAATTGAGAACTTGAGTAATTGAAACTAATATTCTATTATTCAATTTCAACAAGTGTATCAGATCATTAGACTGATAAGCATTACATGGCATTCTTACAAGGTGTTCTTTAAAAAACATGGCATGCCATTGGTCCCAGTACAATAAATAACTAACTCCTTCATATTGCAGTAATAGCTTACAAGAATTGCACATTTAAAAAAAAGAGAAATGCCATGGCGGCTGACTCATATCCTCAATCTGTCAATCTCAAAAGTGGAGATCCCACGTCAATGGAAAACGGCTTATATCCACCAATCTACAAGTCAGGGGATAGATCGGATGTGGCCAACTACCGTCCAGTGTCAATTCTATGTGCTGTCTCCAAAGTGTTGGAAAGGCTGGTGCACACACAGGTTGCTAACTATTTCTCAGTCAACAGTCTATTTACAGCCAATCAAAGCAGTTTTAGGAAGATACACAGCACATCTACAGCAGCGCAAAGGGTTGTGGAGGACAGGGGCACAACTTTCACTGGGGACGGGGGACGGGGGGATTTTTGTCCCTCCCAGTTTTATCATTGGAATGTGATACAAAACGAGGCAACGGTGTGCTTAAGGACCATGCGGACGTCTCCGAGCGGTCGGGTAGACTGTTTGGAGTGTTTATCCTACAGGATAATAAAAAAATTATAATAACAATAAAATATTTCCCCCCCACTTCTAAAACCAAAGTTGCGCCCCTGGTGGAGGACTTGAAGTCGGCTTGTAACAGCCAGGAGGTCACAGCAGCAATCTTCTTGGATCTGAAGAAAGCTTTTGACACTGTTCCCCAACACTCCTGAGGAAGCTTGAGAAACTAGGCTTTGACAGCACTGCAATCAAGTGGTTCATATCATACTTACTGGGGAGGAGTCAGTACACCAAACTGCAAGGCACGCAGTCAGCCCAGGTACCTGTGGTGAATGGAGTACCACAAGGGAGTGAGCTTGGACCCCTGCTGTTCTGCATTTACATAAATTACCCTCCATCAGTGCTGGAGAAATGCCATATACATATACAGTGCATTCGGAAAGTATTGACTTTTTCCACATTGTTAATTACAGCCTTATTCTAAAATGGATTAAATCATTTTTTCCCCTCTTCAATCTACACACAATACCCCATAAGGACAAAGCAAAAACAGCTTTTAGGAATTTTTGCTAATTTATTATAAATAAACTGAAATATCACATTTACATAAGTATTCAGACCCTTTACTCAGTTTACAGCCAGTCCATAAAAGTTCAATCAAGATAGATCTGTTGTCCTCAGTTGCTACATGTCTATTCATGTTCTAATTCTAAGTATCTAAGCATGCAAAATATTGCTAGACAGTCAATGAAGAGTGTCTCGATATAGTTATTTTGCTTAGATACTGGGCCACTCAAGGACATTCAGAGACGTGTTCCGAAGCCACTCCTGTGTTGTCTTGGCTGTGTGCTTAGTGTTGTTGTCCTGTTGGAAGATGAACCTTCGCCACAGTCTGAGGTTCTGAGCACTCTGGAGCAGGTTTTCATCAAGGATCTCTCTGTACTTTGCTCCATTAATCTTTCCCTCGATCCTGACTAGTCTCCCAGTCCCTGCCGCTGAACAACATCTCCACAGCATGATACCGCCACCACCATGCTTCACCATAGGGATGGTGCCAGGTTTCCTCCAGACGTGACGCTTGGCATTCAGGCCAAAGAGTTCAATCTTGATTTCATCAGACCAGATAATCTTGCTTCTCATGGTCTGAGAGTCCTTTAGGTGCCTTTTGGTAAACTCCAAGCGGGCTGTCATGTGCCTTTTACTGAGGACTCCAATCAAGTTGCAGAAACATCTCAAGGATGATCAATGGAAACAGGTTGCACCTGAGCTCAATTTCGAATCTCATAGCAAAGGGTCTGAATACTTATAAGGTATGTCTGTTCTTTATTTTTTTATAAATTAGCAAACATTTCTAAAAACCTGTTTTTGCTTTGTCATTATGGGGTATTGTGTGTAGATTGATGAGGGGAAAAAAAAACAATTTAATCCATTTTAGAATAAGGCTGTAACGTAACAAAATGTGGAAAAAGTCAAGGGGTCTGAACACTTTCCGAATGCACTGTATATGCAGATGACACAGTCCTGTACTACTCAGCAAATACCACAAGGGAGAGTGAGGAGTCAGTGTCAAATGACATCAAGAGGGCAGCAGCTTGGTTCGTTGACAACAAGCTATTCCTATACCCTCAGAAAACCAAGGCAATGCTGTTTGGCAACCCACAAAAGCGGAGATAGACAGGCAAAAGTATCACAGTAACAGACGGACAAAACACTTAAGAACAAGTAAATGCCATAAAGTACCTGGGGATGAAGTTGGACCCACACCTACACTGGACTGAACACGCCAGCCTGGTCACAGGGAAACTACTGTCTGGGCTTGTTGCTCTAAAAAAAGCAAGGGACTTTGTCTCCAAGGACATCATCCTGACAATTTACCACACCATAACTACTCAACTGGACTACTGTGCCACAGTATGGCTTCCCACCTTACATCAGTGCAATAAGACAGGTCTTAACTGGCTACAGGGTATCATCAACAGGGCTGCTCGTATCATGACCGGGCATTCATGGAGGGAACACATAAAGACAGAGGTTCTTCTGCAAGTGGACTATCCTGGCTAAATAGCCCAATTCTGTTAGAAAACCGCAGACATGGCAACCTGTTCCCAGCTGCGATACCACACACTCTGCCTGAAGGAGAAAGAGACAACTCTGGCATTGCAGTCCAAGGCAAAGTGAATAAAGAAGAAGAATGTCTGCTACAGGTAGTTTTGCATTAATCCAGTTAATAATAGCCCCATGTGAGCATTGTCGTGCTATACAGGACACCACGGACCCTGTGGGATCCAGACTCTTGCTGTGTCTGTGCTGGAATGTTCCATTGGGGGCGGGGTTGGGGGGAGCGGGGTCTCCCATCCTACCTCGCCCCCATTCACCCATGACCTCTAGTCACTGAGGCCTCGTTTTATCGCCAATACAAACAAATACATCTACCAGGAATAAAAACACAGCGATGCCTAGTCTCTTATAGATCTCCATCTTCAGGTGGCAGACACAACTTGAAGAGCCTGTGGGAAGTAAACATTTTTAAACATTATTTTAAGATCTGATATTTGTGTAGCCTGGTTCCAGATCTATTTGTGCCGTCTTGTTCACACTGCAGGCCTTAATGCTCAAATAAATTTTGTTTTTCAAATTAGTTTTGGAATACTGCCTGTCCAAACAGCAAGTTACAAGTGACCAGCAGTCATTTGCTGACATGGCTACGCTAGTTGTCATAGTAATGATGGATGTGTGTGTAATGGTGTAGGCTGATTGGCAACAATTCCTGACATGGATGTTTTCCTAGTTGCTTTGAATGGTCAAGCGTAAGAACACATTTAAAGCCTCTAAGGATCAGATGATCCAACTTTCAAAACAAGTCCTTTTTGCCTAACCACAGCAGTTACTTCGCTAGCTAGGTAACTATTTAGCTTTGTAACACATTCCCTAATTTGTTTGTGAACAATTAACAAGTTAGTTAGCTACCATATGTTCTTGTCAAACTGTCAACAGAGTAGCTAGCAAGCTAAGATATGCCAAATAACAAATCAGATTTGACCATTCACACAAATCGCATGGCTAGGAATCAGATTTGTATCCGACATCAAACCACCTAAGAAGGTGGTTTGAAATGTGGCTTGAAATTTCCGATTCCATGTGCTTTTTGACTTTTCAGACTGCAGGAAAACGAATAGATTTGAATCGGACATGCACATTTTTTTGGGATTCGAGTCAGTTCAAACAGCCAATGTGAACAAGGCTTAAGAGTGAACTCATTCCTATTGTCTATACCTTGGGGCTGCGGGCGGCATCTGGTCCATCACTTTTAGGTTTTTAGCTGAGATCTCTACCCTGGTGCCCTATCAGAGAAGAGAGAGGGTTAGACAATGTTTACATATTTAGACTGAGGACAAGTGCCCACAAGGTTGCAGCTACTGTACCCAAATCAGCTGATCAGACAGTGTACCCAATGTGTATATTTCTACCTAATGTCTTTAGGTTGAGAGCAACCCACATCTATCGGGGAAAGACTACGTGCAACCTACATTTAACCATCCCACTGCATCGTTGTCCTGATGTACTGTATGTAGTGAATGTCTTAGAATTCAGTAAAGTACTTTTTAGTAATGCTATGTTATACAGTAGGTGGAAGTTGCTTCCTTTCATATTCCGTTTCCATTTTTCAGCCACTGGCCATTAAAGATTAGCAAGGGGATAGAGAGAGATGTGGGTTTTATTCATTAGGCACCAAGCCGAAAAACACGGACAGAAAAAGGGAGGGACTACCTGAACTTGTCCAATAAGAAACGCTAATCTTTGGTTTCCGTTGCTAAACGTTTTGCTACGATGTACCCTAATGAATACGACCCAGAACTTAGATCTGTTGCAAGGGGTGTAAAAAGGGTGTAGTTAGGGCACCTGTTTGCGCATGATGTCCATGGTCTGCATGATGCAGCGGGGCATGAGACCGTGGTTCCGCGCCAGGATCATGGCCTGATCAAGGGTCACGCTTAGGGTGCACCTGCTCAACACAAAGGTCAGAGGTCAGCAGGTCAAAGGTGTTTGGACTGTGTTATGATTAGCTAATGGAAAGGGGTTGAAAATACACTGTTTTAAAGGAGTAAGGCATACTGTACGTAGGGTATGTTTAAGCACTACACCTGACATAGCAATACATACAGTTGAAGTCGGAGGTTTACATACACCTTAGCCAAATACATTTAAACTCAGTTTTTCACAATTCCTGACATTTAATCCTAGTAAAAATTCCCTGTCTTGGTTCAGTTAGGATCACCACTTTATTTTAAGAATGTGAAATGTCAGAATAATAGTAGAGAAAATGATTTATTTCAGCTTTTTTTTCTTTCTTCACATTCCCAGTTGGTCAGAAGTTTACATACACTCAATTAGTATTTGGTAACATTGCCTTTAAATTGTTTTACTTGGGTCAAACGTTTCGGGTTGCCTTCCACAAGCTTCCCACAATAAGTTGGGTGAATTTTGGCCGATTCCTCCTGACAGAGCTGGTGTACCGGAGTCAGGTTTGTAGGCCTCCTTGCTCGCACACGCTTTTTCAGTTCTGCCCACACATTTTCTATAGGATTGAGGTCAGGGCTTTGTGATGGCCACTCCAATACCTTGACTTAGTTGTCCTTAAGCCATTTTGCCACAACTTTGGAAGTATGCTTGGGGTCATTGTCCATTTGGAAGACCAAGCTTTAACTTCCTGACTGATGTCTTGAGATGTTGCTTCAATATATCCACATAATTGTCCTTCCTCATGATGCCATCTATTTTGTGAAGTGCACCAGTCCCTCCTGCAGAAAAGCACCCCCACAGCATGATCCCCCGTGCTTCACGGTTGGGATGGTGTTCTTCGGCTTGCAAGCCACCCCTTTTTCCTCCAAACATAACGATGGTCATTATGGCCAAAAAGTTATATTTTTGTTTCATCAGACCAGAGGACATTTCTCCAAAAGGTACGATCTTTGTCCACATGTGCAATTGCAAACCGTGGTCTGGCTTTTTTATGGCGGTTTTGGAGCAGTGGCTTCTTCCTTGCTGAGCGGCCTTTCAAGTTATGTCGATATAGGACTTGTTTTACAGTGGATATACATACTTTTGTACCTGTTTCCTCCAGCATCTTCACAAGGTCCTTTGCTGTTGTTCTGGGATTGATTTGCACTTTTCGCACCAAAGTACGTTAATAATATATAATAATAATATGCCATTTAGCAGACGCTTTTATCCAAAGCGACTTACAGTCATGTGTGCATAAATTTTTACGTATGGGTGGTCCCACATCTTTAGGAGACAGAACGTGTCTCCTTCCTGAGCGGTATGATGGCTGCGTGGTCCCATGGTGTTTATACTTGCTTACTATTGTTTGTACAGATGAATGTGGTACCTTCAGGCGTTTGGAAATTGCTCCCAAGGATGAACCAGACTTGTGGAGGTCTACCATTTCTTTCCTGAGGTCTTGGCTGATTTCTTTTAATTTTCCCATGATGTCAAGCAAAGAGGCACTGAGTTTGAAGGTAGGCCTTGAAATACACCCACAGGTACACCTCCAATTGACTCAAATGATGTAAATTAGCCTATCAGAAGCTTCTAAAGCCATGACATTATTTTCTGGAATTTTCCAAGCTATTTAAAGGCACAGTCAACTTAGTGTATGTAAACTTCTGACCCACTGGAATTGTGATACAGTGAATTATAAGTGAAATAATCTGTCTGTAAACAATTGTTGGAAATATTACTTGTGTCATGCACAAAGTAGATGTTCTAACCGACTTGCCAAAACTATAGTTTGTTAACAAGAAATGTGTGGAGTGGTTGAAAAACGAGTTTTAATGACTCCAACCTAAGTGTACGTAAACTTCCGACTTCAACTGTAGATGTGCATGAGGGTTTGCTCCAGCTGACGCTAACTGTCAGCACTATTACATCAGTTTCAATGTCATACGACAGACCTTTGCATGCCAGTGGCACACATGGTGATGTGGCAGGCGCCCAGGCGGTCGCACAGCTCCGAGGACACACAGAGGACGCTGACGCCAGAGGGGTGGCCTGCGGCGTTGGGATGCACGTTGACATACGACTGCATCAGACGACATAGGTCGTCCAGGGTGTTGAGGGGTCTGAGGAGCTGGGTAGGAGAGGGGGGACAGAAGACGTTAAGACTCTTAAAATAAGTACTCCAACTTCCTTTCAGGTCAAAAGTACTGCCCCAGAGCTTGTTTGTAAACAAAGAGTAGTTTTGATTTCTGTTTACCTGGTCTATCTTCATAGCTGTGGTGTTGGAGTCGGTGGGAAGATTTGACTTCTCCAGGTAAAAAGCCCTTTAAGAACACAATAAAGGGTTATAATAATTGATAATAATAACAATTGTGGTTCTTATATTTGTCCTATTTCACACATGTACAAGTGTGTATTAATACGCATGTATGAATTAGAAATGTATTTTTTGCATATCTCACTCTCCCCGAGACACCCTCGGAGAGGGGGTCACGGCAAGGGTCTGCCATTATCAATGCGACCCTAGAGCAATTAGGGTTAAGCGCCTTTCTCAAGTTATCATTCAATATGACTGCTATTGAACAATTAATGAATCCATTGATATTATACATTTTCTCTATTTCCTGTAAAAACTTCACATCAACAAACGTCATCCATGCTACCTTCCAAAGCTAATACAGTAGTCAAACTAATCAGCATACGAATACCCCTTAATGCAAGTGGGAAGTACAACACAATGGGTAGTACAATACATACAGTATAACACAATATAAAGTGCGTGGGTTGCTACCTGAGTTTTCGGTAGTAGGCTTTGACCTTTTCCAGTGAGAGGGCGTTGATGCGTTGCTGGAACTCTTCCATGGACACACAGTCCTGCTGGGACACTCCCTCTGGCCTCTCCAGGGCTGATCCAGGGACAGCGTTAACACAGTAAAAATGCAGTATATGCAGACAAGCACATAGGCATACGGGCACACACACACACACACACAAACACACACACACCAGGGATAGGAAGACACATTAATATACAGTACATACACGCACCTAGACAGACAGACACATTGCTAACATTCTTTTATAAATGGCTAAAAGTTACAAGTTTATACCGTCTGACAGCTGAATAAGACCACAGAACACAAAACTGTATTCAATACGAGTGGCCTGTAGGTGGCGACGACACCCAATTTAGCCCTAGTTCTCTGGGTCTCCGACTGCAGAATAGTATTACATTTCAGGCTTCTGCTTTGCGGCTACTGAACAATGTGAGCCTCCCTGTAGGGTTATTGTCCCAGTTGGCACATGTGGATGGAAAATGAATGGTTCCCTAACACAGGGAATCCAGCATAATTCCAGCCATTTATATGGACCCAACAAAGGTCGAAGGGACACTGCAGTGAAATAATAGCATTGAGGAAGTAGATAGGTAGGCACAGAATACATTTCCCGGTTATACTTCATAGTACGTTATTCAAATGGTAGTTATGACACCGTAAATGGCAATTACATAAGAAATACGCTATAATTAGTATTTTGTTTGTGACTATAGGCACTTTCACGCTTGCATATTCACTAGAACATTACATTTAAGCAACTAATCAGTAAGGAGAAAGGGATTTAGAGATACTGAGTAAAAGATTCTGTTGAACTTGATTATTATAGATATATGGGCTGCATCCCAAATGGTCCCATTCCCTAAATAGTACATTCATTTTGGGCACTAAATAGGAAATAGGGAGCCATTTGGGACGCAGCCATGGTCAGTGTAGGCACCCTATTCCCTATATAGTACGTTCCTATTTAGTGCAGAAAAGGAATGTACTATATAGGGAATAGGGTGCCTGGCATGACTTATCCAGGCTAATGTTACAGGTGAATGGATGAAGACATTGTTTTATACATCTCATTTCTACCATCTCTGTAAAACTGTGTGCATATTCAAGATTATAGCAAATTGATAGGTTTTATACCTCTGCATTGTGAAGATCTGTGTATCTATAAACCTGCAACATATTTCCTGAACGTGCCTCTAGTGCATTTCATCAAATTCAATCCAATGCCATTTGATTTGACTCGACTCCATCCAATTCAATTCAATTAATCAAACTGTGATTCAGTGAGGATTTGATGACCACCGCCTGGACTCAAATGAATTCAGCTAAATTTGATTTGATGATAATTCGAATCAACTCAATTGAATTCAGCTAACTTTGATTTGATGACGACTCGACTCAACTGAGTTCAGCAACATGGTAGACTAGCGGACTGTTCTGTTTCTACTCACCCCTGGTAAAGAGCACAGTGTGCAGTTTGAGGCTGCCCCCTTTCTGCAGGCGTTTGGGGAGCTCACTGAAGTGGCAGCTGTCCAGGTACAGGGTGACCCTTAGGGCCTGCCGGCTGCCCTCTACGTGGTAACACACTGGCGTGTCTGGGGAAAACAAAACACACACACACACACACACACACACTCTGTCAATCACCACATTCTTATTGGCAGACTAAATAGCCTTGGTTTCTCAAATGACTGCCTTGCCTGGTTCACCAACTACTTCTCCGATAGAGTTCAATGTGTCAAATCGGAGGGCCTGTTGTCTGGAACTCTGGCAGTCTCTATGGGGGTGCCACAGGGTTCAATTCTCAGGCCGACTCTATTCTCTGTGTATATCAATGATGTCGCTCTTGCTGCTGGTGACTCTCAGATCCACCTCTACGCAGACGACACCATTTTGTATACATCTGGCCCTTCATTGGACACTGTTAACAAACTTCCAAACGAGCTTCAATGCCATACAACACTCCTTCCGTAGCCTCCAACTGCTCTTAAACACTAGTACAACTAAATGCATGCTCTTTAATCGAACGCTGCTTGCACCCGCCCACCCGACTAGAATCACTACTCTCGGCGGGTCTGACTTAGAACTTGTGGACAACTACAAATACCTAGGTGTCTGGTTAGACCGTAAACTCGCCTTCCAGACTCACATTAAGCATCTCCAATCCAAAGTTAAATCTAGAATCGGCTTCCTATTTCGCAACAAAGCCTCCTTCACTCATGCTGCCAAACATGCCCTCGTTAAACTGACTATCCTACCGATCCTTGACTTCGGCGATGTCATTTACAAAATAGCCTCCAACACTCTACTCAGCAAATTGGATGTAGTCTATCACAGTGCCATCCGTTTTGTCACCAAAGCCCCATATGCTACCCATCATTGTGACCTGTACGCTCTTGTTGGTTGGTCCTCACTACATATTCGTCGCCAAACCCACTGGCTCCAGGCCATCTATAAATCACTGCTAGGCAAATCCCCGCCTTATCTTAGCTCATTGATCACCATAGCAACACCCACCCGTAGTATGCCACAGAAACCCGCTGAGCTTTCACCTTTGACCCGAAGGGGAGGTTAGTTATGGTGGATTTTCCCTTCAATTACCCATTGGCTTACTGATTGTCCTTATTGGCATTACATTTACATTTTAGTCATTTAGCAGACACTCTTATTCAGTGCAACTTACAGTTAGAGTATCCATCTTAAGATAGCTAGGTGAGAAAACCACATATCACAGTCATAGTAAGTACATTTTCCTCAAATACAGCATGATTGGTTACTTCCAGTTTAAACTTGTTCATAGCTATTACAATGTTACATATACTATGTTGCAAATGACAATATCGGTATTCAGTGTAGTAAACTCTGCAACAGATTAATTTATCATTTAATCATTCCGCCCCCTGTGGGAACCCTGGGAACAACACAACCCCTGTGAGGTTAGCAGACCTCCTTCTGAAGACCATCCACCCGCAATCCTTTGGGATTGGCTGTGATGTTTTAGACCTTCCTGGAACCCTCCGCCTCCATAATGCTTACACATGGCTCTACTAAACCTAGAGTTCAGGGGGGTTACTGAACTGATTTTTATCAAATTAATACTGTCAGATGAGCTTACAGTGAGGGAAAAAAGTTTTGGATCCCCTGCTGATTTTGTACGTTTGCCCACTGACAAAGAAATGATCAGTCTATAATTTTAATGGTAGGTTTATTTGAACAGTGAGAGACAGAATAACAAAACAAAAATCCAGAAAAACGCATGTCAAAAATGTTATAAATTGATTTGCATTTTAACGAGGGAAATAAGTATTTGACCCCCTCTCAATCAGAAAGATTTCTGGCTCCCAGGTGTCTTTTATACAGGTAACGAGCTGAGATTAGGAGCACACCCTTAAAGGGAGTGCTCCTAATCTCAGCTTGTTACCTGTATAAAAGACCTGTCCACAGAAGCAATCAATCAGATTCCAAACTCTCCACCATGGCCAAGACCAAGGAGCTCTCCAAGGATGTCAGGGACAAGATTGTAGACCTACACAAGGCTGGAATGGGCTACAAGACCATCGCCAAGTAGCTTGGTGAGAAGGTGACAACAGTTGGTGCGATTATTCGCAAATGGAAGAAACACAAAATAACTGTCAATCTCCCTCGGCCTGGGGCTCCATGCAAGATCTCACCTCGTGGAGTTGCAATGATCATGAGAACGGTGAGGAATCAGCCCAGAACTACACGGGAGGATCTTGTCAATGATCTTAAGGCAGCTGGGACCATAGTCACCAAGAAAACAATTGGTAACACACTACGCCGTGAAGGACTGAAATCCTGTAGCGCCCGCAAGGTCCCCCTGCTCAAGAATGCACATATACATGCCCGTCTGAAATTTGCCAATGAACATCTGAATGATTCAGAGGAGAACTGGGTAAAAGTGTTGTGGTCAGATGAGACCAAAATGGAGCTCTTTGGCATCAACTCAACTCGCCGTGTTTGGAGGAGGAGGAATGCTGCCTATGACCCCAAGAACACCATCCCCACCGTCAAACATGGAGGTGGAAACATTATGCTTTGGGGGTGTTTTTCTGCTAAGGGAACAGGACAACTTCACCGCATCAAAGGGACGATGGACAGGGCCATGTACCGTCAAATCTTGACGGCCAGGGCATTGACAATGGGTCGTATGGGTATTCCAGCATGACAATAACCCAAAACACACGGCCAAGGCAACAAAGGAGTGGCTCAAGAAGAAGCACATTAAGGTCCTGGAGTGGGCTAGCCAGTCTCCAGACCTTAATCCCATAGAAAATCTGTGGAGAGAGCTGAAGGTTCGAGTTGCCAAACGTCAGCCTCGAAACCTTAATGACTTGGAGAAGATCTGCAAAGAGGAGTGGGACAAAATCCCTCCTGAGATGTGTGCAAACCTGGTGGCCAACTACAAGAAACGTCTGACCTCTGTGATTGCCAACAAGGGTTTTGCCACCAAGTACTAAGTCATGTTTTGCAGAGGGGTCAAATACTTATTTCCCTCATTAAAATGCAAATCAATTTATAACATTTTTGACATGCGTTTTTCTGGATTTATTTGTTGTTATTCTGTCTCTCACTGTTCAAATAAACCTACCATTAAAATTATAGACTGATCATGTCTTTGTCAGTGGGCAAACGTACAAAATCAGCAGGGGATCAAATACTTTTTTCCCTCAAAGTACAGCCTCCACAAACTGTCCGCCTAAGCAACAGCCACTGCGTTGTGCTGGTGCTAGTTAGTTAGACCTCGCCATACTGCTAAAGTGGGCCCATTTTCCAAAAAGTGATTTAAACAGGTTTTTAAAAATTTTTGTATTGTGTGTGTTATGCTTACTGCTGAGTAGTAACCTAGAATAGTACATCCCCATTTTATCCGTGGCTTTCTCCCCCTAAATGGGAAATGCATCTGATGTGCTTGCTTAACGCAGCAATCTCGGCTAACCATCTTACAGTTAGTGAAAATGGACAGATTGGGGATGTACAAGTCTTTTTTACTAAGGCTGGTTTGACTGAGGTGTTTTGTGTTTGCGTGTGTGCATGTGTATGTGTGCATGTGTCCATGTGGGTCTTCCTCCACCATGCGTAAATACAACTCACAACTCAGTCTTTAAACTGGCCACCATTGCAAAATGATGTTGTTGCTATGGGAAAGGGTCTACTTACTTGCGACCAGGCATTCATCCTCCAGCTGGCGGAAGAACACTGTGACTTTGTCCAGGTCCAACAGGGCCGCCTGTGTATCCTCCAGCATTGTCCTCTCCTCCTTCTACACAGCAGAGAGAAGACACAAAGCTAAGCTAACAGGCCAGTGACCATATTCAGAAAGCGTCTCAGAGTAGGAGTACTGATCTAGAATCAGTTTAGCCTTTTAGATCAAAATGTATAAGATTATATGGACAGGAGGGACCTGATCCTAGATAGGCACTCATATTCTGAGACTCTTACTGAATATGTGACTCATTTCAGGAAACTAGGCGTATGTTGCACGTCACTCCTTCAGAGGAGAGGCACATATCAAAATGTGTTTTTTGGCAGAAATGCCTTCTGGCACTTTCATGTGCCTTAATAACAAACTTGTATGCCATCTATAAATACAAATAAAATTGTTAAATTACGAGCATAGTTGGTCGGGAAAAAAAGACAGGAACCTTCCTGCTAGCCATGATTGGCTGAGATAATGGATGCCGAGACATGAGTTCTGATTGGGCTGCCATGTAGCATGCTTCTGTCTATAACATGAGCTGCTCAGTATGTGTAGGTAATCCTTTCTAACACTGATTTTTTAAAGAAATCACAAAGAACTACAAAAGTGTTGCTAATGCTCTCCACTTTCTGGAGGACGATCGTGCCATGCTGACTCTCTCCGACTCTGAAAATAAATCAGAAGATATGGAAATCCCTGATTTAGGTAAAAACATTTTCATTGAACTAGACAATGCAGTGTTCATCCATGTATAGAAGTAAGATAGTCTAGCTAGCTTCATTTTCAGATGTTATACGTTTCTAATTTAGTCAGAAAGTCATTTTCATTGCTAGGTAGCTAACGTTAGCTGGCTGGCTTGCCAGCTAACTTTACGTGTATGATCTGTGAAGTAATAACATTAGTATCTCCGAAAGCCATTTGAATTGCTAGTTATAGCCTAAAGTTAGCTAGCTAGCTAACATTGAACATGCATGGTAGTAACATTATGAGTTGGGATTATGGTTCATTGTTTAGCTAGCTAGCTACATGTCTAAACAAAATACTCCACAATGCAAGTAACCATTTCACTGTACCGTTTACACCTTCTGTATCCAGTGCATTTGACAAATAAACTTAGATTTTATTTGATATAGTGTGTGTTTACCAGAGATGGTAATGTGAAGAACTACATGACCTGCACCAAAGTCAAATTAGGATATAACGTTAGGCCAACGAGGCAGTGTCCAAGTTCTAAAATTCTCCGGTAGAATGCCCTGCTTTTATTTCATCACACTCACAACCATAAGCTATTTTCTGTAATTAGCTCGTCATTAACTTGTAAATAATGATTTGTTGCGAGTTTATCTTCCTGTAATAATGAGAGAGAAAAAATGCTGAAGCTAACAAACTAGAAACAAACCAAAACATTGTTTAGAAATGTGCTTTTAGTTGTCTGGTTTGCTAGATTGACCTATACTAAATTCATTTTTAAACGGATGGGTTTATTGGTGTTAAAATACACCAGCTATGCTATTTTGGACCACCAGGCTGTGGATGTCATGCAGCCTGTCTTTTTTGTGTTTATACTTTTTCATAACGACTACAAGTTTGATGTCGGACGACAATGTTCATGATGTCACTGCGACAACTGTCTACAGACATCGATAGAGGTAGTATAAACCAGCCTTTAATCTTGAAATCTTTGGTTGTTTAGTGCATTACCGTACTCACTCTGTTTAGCACATGGGAAGGGAAAGGGAGATACCTAGTCAATTGTCCAACTGAATGCATTCAACTGAAATGTGTTTTCCGCATTTAACCCAACCCCTCTTAATCGACATCCACGACGTCGGGGCCCGGGCCTCACACGTGAATCGTTAAAGAGATGGGTGGGGCTAAGGCTTAAGACTGTGTGAACAACGCTGAATGGGTGTAGACAAAGAAGAGATCTTCAATAGGTGTACCAAAACATTCAAGGGCCATTTTCTCAAAAGTTTATCGACTTCCAAACGCAGAATTACTTCCCCATTTTCTAGCTCTACTTTTATCCAATGTAAAAACCACAATTTCAAATTTTGCTACATAAGACCGAATCGAACTGATCGGTCACATATGGGCCCAGGGCTTACTGTTTTAGCCTAGTGGTCAATGGAGACAGCTGTGTGCCAATGGCACCCTTCTTTCTGGATCAAAACAGTACAGAGACATTATAAGTACACCCTTACACTATTCTATTGATGGTTACTAGATGGCTAAACATTTCTACATGGTGGTCATATGCCTATGTTACTTTGCTGTATTTGTGTTTTGAATTGTGTTTTTTATGTATGTCTTTACTCTTTTGTGTATGTTTTTACTGGAGCTGCCTAGCCAGGTATTCCTTGAAAGAGAGAGGTCGTTTGACATCAGTGGAACAATCTGGTAATAAAAATGTGGTAGCACTTTCTAATAACTCCATGTAATAAAGCATTTATAATGGATTAGTAAATCGTTTATTCATAATTTATTAACCATTACTCAATTCATAAAAATATTCTAGAACATATCAATGGTAACTGAATAAGCACACAACACAGAATGTTAAAGGAAATATATTTAACATTTTATTCACATTTTATTGTTGTGAAAAAACTGTTGCAAGAACTTGAAAAAGAGTTGTACTGTGAATGTTTTGCTAATGTTGTTAACCTCGCAAACGCAAACCAATCATAACTCAGGGAGATGTAGCAGACACACAACAGCTGGCCGGACCGGACAGTTTTTCTCTAGTGGATTTTTATTCCTTCATTACTACTATAACTACTGTGGAAACCTGCTCATCGAACATCTCAGTAGATGTTGGAACATTGCTGCGGGGACTTGCTTCCATTCAGCTACAAGAGCATTAGTGAGGTCGGGCACTGATGTTGGGCGATTAGGCCTGGCTCGCAGTCAGCGTTCCAATTCATCCCAAAGATGTTCGTTGGGGTTGAGGTCAGGGCTCTGTGCAGGCCAGTCAAGTTCTTCCACACCGATCTCGACAAACAATTTCTGTATGGACCTCGCTTTCTGCACGGGGGCATTGTCATGCTGAAACAGGAAAGGGCCTTCCCCAAACTGTTGCCACAAAGTTGGAAGCACAGAATCATCTAGAATGTCATTGTATGCTGTAGCATTACGATTTATCTTCACTGGAACTAAGGGGCCTCGACCGAACCATGAAAAACAGCCCCAGACCATTATTCCTCCTCCACCAAACTTTACAGTTGGCACTATGCATTCGGGCAGGTAGCGTTCTCCTGGCATCCGCCAAACCCAGATTTTTCCATTGGACTGCCAGATAGTGAAGCGTGACTAATCACTCCAAAGAACACATTTCCACTGCTCCAGTCCAATGGCGGCGAGCTTTACACATTTTGACATTTTAGTCATTTAGCAGACGCTCTTATCCAGAGCGACTTACAGTTAGTGAGTGCATACATTTTCATACTGGCCCCCCGTGGGAAACGAACCCACAACCCTGGCGTTGCAAGTACCATGCTCTACCAACTGAGCTACAGGGGACTACACCACTCCAGCCGACGCTTGGCATTGTACATGGTGATCTTAGGTTTGCGTGCGGCTGCTCAGTCATGGAAACCCATTTCATTAAGCTCAGACAAACAGTTATTGTGCTGAAGTTGCTTCCAGAGGCAGTTTGGAACTTGGTAGTGAGTGTTGCAACCGAGGACAGACATTTTTTACGGGCTTCAGCACTCGGCGGTCCGGTTCTGTGAGTTTATGTGGCCCACCAATTCACGGCTGAGCCGCTGATGCTCCTAGACATTTCCACTACACAATAACAGCCCTTTCAGTTGACCGGGGCAGCTCTAGCAGGGCAGACATTTTACAAACTGACTTGTTGGAAAGGTGGCATCCTATGACGGTGCCATGTTGAAAGTCACTGAGCTCTTCAGTAAGGCCATTCTACTGCCAATATTTGTCTATGGAGATTGCCTGGCGGTGTGCTTGATTTTATACACCTGTCGTCAACGGGTGTGGCTGAAATACTTTTGTATATATAGTAATAATAATAATAATAATAATAATAATAATAATAATAATATGCCATTTAGCAGACGCTTTTATCCAAAGCGACTTACAGTCATGCGTGCATACATTTTTGTGTATGGGTGGTCCCGGGGATCAAACCCACTACCTTGGCGTTACAAGTGCCGTGCTCTACCAGCTGAGCTAAGTGTATGTGATTGAGGTAGAAATGTATATAAAATATAAATAGCCCACAGTTTAGATGAGGCCAAGCAAAAACAATTAACTAATGATTAGTAAATGGTTTATAAGGACCTATATTAAACATCTAATGAATGGTCTTAGGAATCATTATTAAATACGTTAAAAGTTGTTTATAAGTGTGTGACTAACTAGGTTACATACATTTATAAATGTGGGAGTAATGATTAATGCATGATGAATAAACTATTTACTAATCCAATATAAATGCTTTATTACATGGAGTTGTTATAAAGTGCTACCAAAAGGTTATATAAAAATGAAATGGGTTCCATATTATTGGTCAAGCTCAAGTCAAGTATTTGAGTCAGGTCTGCTGATAGGCGAAAGGGAAATAAATAACACAGCAGTAATGTTTAAAGTCTTCTGTTAATCAGCATCTCTTCATTCTGACGCTTGTTCTTTTACAGTATTCGGTTATTTCTAACAGTATTTGGCTATTCTTCACAGTATCTGGATATTCTTTCTCCACAGTACTGGCTCTTACCACGTGGGGCGCCAGCGTTGCCTGGAAGTTGAGCAGCACGCCGATGGCAGCCGCCTGCTCCAGCCACTTTCGGCTTGTGTCCTTGCAGTCTTCCTCGTACTCGCCAGCGTTGTTGAAGCGCGCCCGCAGCGCCGCCAGGAGCTGCTCGGCCAGCGTGCACACAGCGCCCGCCGCACTCTGGCAGAAGATCACGTCCCGCTGCAGCTGCAGAGCCGTATCTGGGGCCGAGGGGAGTGGGAGAGAGGGGGAGGGAGGGGGAAATAATTGTCTGTTTAGTGTCTGTTTTCACAGAAATTAGCTTTGCTTCATATAAACTCTTCACAGGACATTTAAAAAACAGCAACATACAAACCATATGGAAGGAAGGGGACTATACAAGTAATTAGACAGGGGGAGGGGTGGGGTTGAGAGAGAGAGGAGAGGAGTATAATGGAAAGAGGTGGGAGATAGGTTGGAGAAAGAGAGGTAAGGGAGGGGGTAATTGAGAAAGAAAGAGGATATGATAGAGTGATAGACAATGATAGAGAGGAGGGGAGGGTAAAAGAAGGAGTGAAAGAGGGCACATGAGACGGACGGTTGACAGGATTTTGACAACCGTTATTACTCTCAACCCAACACACTGACAGAAATACTGCCTCTGTCCGGTCCCTCAGAGAAGTAAGAGAATCAATCAATCATCTAATCAACCTGGATAAAGCCAAGTCTTTTCTAACCTTCCACCTCAGAGTGGTGTGTAAACTCTAATCAAACACAGCCCGGGGGTTTACAATCTGCTCAATTAGGGTGGCTCATTCATAAGGACAGGGCCATTAACAACTGCCATATGGCAAGGCACACTTCAAAGGAGCTCTCTCTCTCTCTCACACACACAAACAGAGAGAGAGAGACAGACAGATCTGACATAAGGCTTACCTGTACATTTGAGCAGGGCCAGAAGCAGCTGGTTCTTCCCATCTACAGAACAAGGAGGATTTTATTACCTGAGTGATACACATGTGTTTCTGCTGTGTCTGTGTGTGTTTGTGTGTGTTTGTGTGTGTGTGTTTGCGTGATGGGTGTGTTCCACGTGGGTTTCTGCGGTGTGTGCATTTGTTACACATGTGTGTTTTTGTTTTACTGACCGTCCACAAATCGTTGCAGGCTCTCCACCAGAGTCATAATAGAGCTGGGCAGGTTCCAAGGGTCCTCCTGGATGTTCTTGTTGATGATGTTGTGACAGCGCACCGTCCAGTCCTCAGTGTGACGGAACTCTGCTCCGAAAACAGGGGGTGTCAATTATTTAGTTAATTACCAATATAAATGCTATGAGAATTCTTCAGTATAACACTTCACACATCTATACACACACATTCTCAGTGATACCCTAACATGTCTCTCTCTCTAAACAAACATACACTCAGACATGTCTTACACTCACACACACTAAATGTAGCTGGTACCTGGCTTAGTGTGGTCGGGGTGAAAGTGCTTGGTTTCCTCGCAGGCCTTGGTCATGATGGGCCCTTTGAGCAGGCTGTTGATGGAGTCCACCTGCAGATGACAGTCACAACCAGTCAGACCTCAACACACAGAGACTGGCCTCAGTCTGTCAACAACAGCAACAACAGGAAACTAGGACCCAGGAAATCGACGGAAGACAAAATGGTGGTGTCCCTTGGGGAGTATGGGAGAGGTCAAAGGGCATGTGATGTCGGTAAGAGGAGATGCAAGGAGGGACACACGTCTGTGTGTGTGTGTGTGATTGTGTGTAGAGAGAAAGAGTGAGAAAGACATGATGACAAAGAGAGGAGAATGGAGAGATAGCAAAACAAGGTAATGCACTACAGATGTATACTAGACTGATTACTATTAACATGATCTGTGCCAAATGTTTCTGAGGGCTAATGGAAAAGGTGTGCGTGTATAATATTAGTGCAGAACAGTATCTTAACAGTTTATTAACAAAAGCATGGCATACAAAACAGAGTGAACAGATTGACAACGCCATTGATACTGACTGTACAGAGGTAATGGTAAAGGTAGTATTGTGGAAAAGATCATGTAATGGTAAAGATGGTGCACCTGGTTGAAAAGGTGCTCCAAACAGCCGTGCAGCTTGTCCTGCTTGTCAGAGGGAATTCTCATGTCACAGGGCAGCTCATCACCTGAGAGAGAGAGAGAGAGAGATAGAGAGAGATGGAAGGGACATTCTGTAAATTTGTCCACATAAGGCAAATCAATGTGATATATCTTTAATCCTAGAGGGGTATGAACATGTTAGTCTAGTCGTTACTTTATAAACTGTTTCTTACCTGAACCCATTTCGTCACTCCCCAGGTAAGAGCTGTTGCTACGTACACTTGTGTACGACAAGACGGAATCCCTGTTACTGTTACATTCACTGAAAACACACACACAGAGAGCGAGGGAGATAGTCAGAAACAGTTGAATAACAAAATCATTCAATCCCTACAGAAAAACCACAAAGTCAAATGTGGAGTCTGTCTTGTAATTATCCAGTCAAATAATCTGACTGACTAACTGCATAATTTAATAGGCAGAGCGAGCAGCAGTCAAATGCTTCTCACAACCATCAACTTACTTCACTGGCATGACTAAAATGTATTCCACTATAATGTCGTAAGGTGTGGCAACACCAATGTCCCAAATAAGATTGTTAAAATAATACATACCAGAAAAGTTGAAGTCAAATGATACAAAAACATTAAAAGAAGATCACATGCCTCCACAACTCCAAAGTTTTTGCCTTAAAGGGATAATTCAGAAAAAAAGTACATATTCCAATGGCTAGTTTAACAAAACCAAAGTTTGGATTGCCGTCACTCCTTGTCCATAGAGTGCTTTTAAAATAAGGAAATAAGTACGAAATTCGCTGAACCATCCCTTTAATGCTCAATATTTATTCTCCTCCAATTATCCCTAAATTTGAAATGCATTTTAATAGGCAGACCTACTTTTGTGAACATTTCTGTGCGCGTCGTGGATTTAAGATGTAAATGCTGAATCATATGGGATTATGGAGCCAGAAGTAGCATTGTCATCGTGCTTCCCACTAAAACAATCACTTTGTTTTACTATAATCATCCAGCTTGGCTCAGCGACAAACTGGCCCACAATGTAAACTGGAAACCACTGGAAGCCACTACAGCTTAGTGAGTTGTTTGTGAGTCGGGGTGTTGTCTCTATTATTGCCTGTCCTATAAACTGTGTATATCTTAATGTGTCTCCCAATGGAATGCTGGATCATTCCCGACGAGCTGGGACTGAAGTGCCAACCTTTACGTAATACACATGGGAGTTTGGCTTTGATTCTCTCCTCCACACATACAGACACTCTCGCACGCACGCGCACACATACACGTGCGCGCACGCTCTCCTGGGAGAGGGTTCCAAATTTAGTCGCACCTCATGGTAGGTTTGGAGCAGCCCACCCTCTCCAGATGTGACAAGACTGACTGTCTGAGAGACAAACTAGACTGATGGTGGGTGTACACCTACCTCTCTTTCGTACCTTTTCAGTCTCTCTGCATGTTACCCACCTTCTCTCTGTCTGCATCCATACATCTCTCTCCTTTCACTCACTGTCTGATTGTGGTGTCTCTCCCTCCATTTTCCTCACTAAAACGCTCCCTCAGTCTGTCTTTTGCTGTTGACCTTCACCTAACTCTTTCCCTAATTCTTTGTATGCCTCTCTCCATTTCTCTCCAATCTTCATGAACTTCATGCATTTATAAAGTGCTTCTCACCGGGTCCCAGAGCACATTGGATGGACGGACAACCAGCATCAAACCTATAGCACCCTCTCCATGTGTTTCTACTAGCATGCTAAATGCTAATCTCGTTCCCAGCCTCTTCCGTGTGACAGCCTGGGGATGAGGTTAGCTAAATGCTAACCTTACACTACTAACCCTGCCATGTACTGTATTTTCGCTGGGTGTTTCCAAAACAGTGCTAGCCAAACTGAGGCTGTGTCCGAAATGGCACCCTATTCCCTTTGTAGTGCATTACTTTTGGCTAGACCCATATAGTGCACTTCTTTTGGCTAGAGCCCATGAGGGTCTGGCCAAAAGTAGTGCACTAAATAGGGAATAGGGTGTTACTGCAGACGCAACCTCAGTGAGCTCACTATGCCCTGAACGGTGGGAGGTTGTTGGCTAGAAGGAGTAGCTGTTCTAGTTGTAATGACAGACTGGTCAGAGAGAGAGGCAAGCAGGCTACTAAATTAGCCTCTGTTACACACTGTGCTCTCGCCAGGAGCCCACCACTGCTCTTAGTTGGTGGTAGTGGGCGGACACCGTGGACTGGCGCCTAAATGACACCACCGCCGCCAACTATCTGAATGAACTCAAGCTGGCGAGGAGGTAAATCTGGAACCTATTGGGAGAGTAAGGGAAACCATGTCGTCACAGTGGGAAATATAAATAAAACTATGGGGAAATCTTTGTTGTTGGTGATTTCACATGAAGCTAGTACATGAAATTGGGAAACAACACTTGGTATTAGTTTGCCAGGGCTACCCGTTTTCTTCACTGTACTTTTAGCTTTTTATGACCCTTTATTTTACCATTGTGAATTGATTAAAAGCACATTCTCGTTTGCACCAACAGAGTAGTAGAGGGTGACCTGATCCTAGAATAGTGCCTAAGGGAAACAGAGTGGCATAGGAATGATGGCCCCTGTTTGGAGTTCACATTGTGTTTCTCAACCACAAGATAGCTGCCCTCCACCACAGATCTAGGATCAGATTACTCTATCCCCCAATACTAACCTCAACCATTACAGAGGATGAAGAAATATCTAAACATGATCTGACCCTGGATCAGTGGTAAGGGTTATCCTTTACTTTCTACTCTACCTACACCTTTTAACCTACTGCACAACTATTAGTACGATGGTAATCTGTGATATTTCAATGGGAAGCAGCAGCACATTAAATGTCCAAGACTAATTTTCCTTGGGGGACAAGAAAGTTAATTTGTCTTATTTTAACTCTAATGTGACCGACCGGCTCGATTCGGTCTTACGTAGCAAAATTTGAAATTGTGTTTTTTACATTGTATAAAAGTAGAGACTCAGAGCTAGAAAATGGTATAGCATACACTACAATTGAGGAACAATGGGAAAGTAATTCTGCTTTGAAAGTTGATCAACTTGTAACCTCACTTTTGAGAAAAGGGCCTTTGAATGTTTTGGTACACCCACTGGAGAGCTCTTCTTTGTCTACACCCATTCAGCATCGTTCACACCCTCTTAAACTATAGCCCCGCCTGTAAACTCAGTGTCCGTTCGGAAATTCAGAGCGTTTCGCTCTCGGAGCGTTCAGAGCGCACACTGGACGCTCTGGCTGAGGAGTAGGGTTGATCCGAACATTCTGTCCTAACAACAGCAGTCAAGCACCCAAGCTAAGTGGCTAACGTTGGCTAGCTTGCTACCTACTTCCAGACACAAATGAGAGAACAGCTCACTGACCATTTTACTTGCTCTAGAAGAGCTGGTTAGACTCTGCTAACCAGCTCTGCTGTGCTGCTGGCAACACTTTAATTATGCTTTTTTGCCAACGTTTACTGACACTGGCCATATTCAACTGGTGTTGAGCGTTTGTAAATTTGACAGTTATTCTGCGCTCTGGCACACTCAGACGAGAGTGCTCTGAAATCGGAGTACATAGCCAGAGCGAATTTACCAGCAACGTCTATCAACAGTTGTCGCATTGACATCATGCACATTCTATTGAAATGGTTACTTGCATGGTGGAGTCTTTTGTTAAGACATGTAGCTAGCTAGCTAGCTAAACAATGAACCATAATTCCAACTCATGACATTACTACCCTGCATGAATCTGCAGGTAGCTAACCAACCAGGTTCAATGTTAGCTAGCTAACATTATGCTATAACTAGCAAAGCAAATGGCTCTGAGATACGAATAATATTACTACACAGATCATACACGTAACATTAGCGAGCCAGCCAGCTAACGTTAGCTAGCTAGCTAACAGTACATTTTAACTTGAAATGAAAATGACTTTCTGACAAAATTAGAAATGTGTAATATCTGAAAATGTAGCTAGCTAGACCATCTTACCCGTATACACGGATGGACGCTTCTCCCTCAGATGCCATCACCTGTCTCCGGATGTTTTCTCCATCTCCTTAGCTATCATACTCTAATGATTTCAAAACACGATCTCTCGGCATGTCCAGCCCACTCATTATCTCAGCCAATCATGGGTAGTGGGAAGGTTCCTGTCTTTTTCTATGGCTAAACCAACTAGGTTCGTAATTTCAAAATGTTATTCGTATTTACAGATGGTATACAGGCACATGAAAGTTCACATGTTCCAGAAGGCATTTCTGCCAAAAAACGCACTTTGATAAATAAATAAAGTTTACGTTCAAATGGCTCTCCTGTGAAGTAGTGATGCGCGACATACGCTTAGTTTCCTGAAACAAGTCACCATTATATCTTAAGTCGTTCTTATCTTACCTGTAGGAGTCCCTGTAGCTCATGGTGTCTTGGCCTGAGTCCTCTTGGTCCTCCTCCGTCACCATGAAGCAGACCCTCTTGATGCCCCCGTGCTCCACCTTTTCCTGATCCCCCTCTTCGGGGGTCACGGAAGGGGGCTGAATGGCCTCGTAGGCTGGGGACTCGCTGCCCTGCGGCTGGGTGGGCTCCGTGATGGAAGAAAGGAGGCTGCGGTTCCCGCCCGCCACATAGGAGAAGGAAACACATGAAAAGGGTACTATATGTATAAGCTAGAAATATTCTCATAATGTGTCTCTCTTTTATGCACACACACTTTGCTTTCATATGCGCACATGTCGTTTACACACACAGTAAAGAAGGTTTTCCCTCCTCTCAATGGGGTTGTGGTTTCACAACCTGTTCCTGTTTGCCCAGTCCATAAACAGTTTTGGACTGAAGAATTTGCCCGTTTACGAGAGAGAGAGCGAGAGAGAGAGGGAATGTGTATCGGAGCTATTCCCATTCAAGAAGGCAGAAATACAGCCGGAATAACGCATCATTTGAAGCAAAACACATCATACCAGCTGTATTTCTGCCTGATTGAACGGCGAATAGCTTATATATACATGAATACATAAAACGACCCCAGGAATCGATAGAGCATCTTTTAGACATGCACAAATACGATATAATATTCAAAATGGGTGACTCTTTCCTTTAAACAAGCAAAAAGGGCAGCCGGACAAACAGGGCTGGGCCTCAGGAAGACTGTCTGGGGACAATGGTTCAATAATATCTTGGCCTTCCAGCCTTCCATTTTCATGCAGAATAATAACAGAGATCTTTGACACCCTTGATAAATACTGAGCTAAAGTATATTGTATGCTAAAAAAATGAGAAATTATATATAGAAATGGTTAATTGGCCACAAAATCAACATTTTGCAATGGCCATCTCAGTCTCCAGACTTGAAACCCATTGAAAACCTGTGGTTTATACAGTAATTTGTATTCATCTTTATCAAGGGTGGCAAACATTTCGGAACCCCACTGTATATTTGGCCACATTAAATGAGCTCGCGGGCCGTGTCTGGCTCGAGGGCAACCGGATTGAGATCCCTGACGTACAGTAGGTACTTCGCAAGGATTTTCATATATGTGTACTTACACGTCTATTTGGGTGACGTACTGCCTCATCTCTCGCACAGCGATGTTCAGGCGGCTGTAGAGGCGGATGTAGGCGTCCTGTGTCTCCATGTCCTCCTGTTTGAGCAGGAAGCTGAGGCCATTCCCCCGGTGGGCCTGCTGTATCCTGTCTGGGATGCCCTCTCCAGAGCCCTCGATGTCCTCCTCACCATCCCCCTCCTCCCCAAGATCACTGCAGCTGTAAGACGGGGCGCCCATGCTGGTCACACAGTGCTGGGTGTGGGACATGGGGTTCAGGTTAGCTGTGGGGAGAGAGAAAATAAATAGATAAAGAAAGAGGCAAAGAAAAGTAAAGGAAGTGAAAGAGTATTAAAATAAGTATCTATATTTTTCAACTGGAAGTAAGATTTTTTTATCAGAAAAGCTACACTTCATATCGTGATGTCAGAAAAGCAGAGGTAAAAATAGAGAGGAGGGAAGAAAGAGAGGGACAGAGAGGGAGAGACAATGAACTTTCATTTCCAGAGACCTATACCTACACCACATGTTCAGCCTTCATACACAATAATACTCTGGTGAATATACAACCTATCATTTTGACAAAAACAGAGTGCTTTTATAAAAAGGACTATATACATATTGCTGTTCTATGTACATTCTACTGCCTTGAGAGTCATGAAGAAATTTACATTTACATTTTAGTCATTTAGCAGACGCCCTTATCCAGAGCGACTTACAGTTAGTGAGTGCATACATTTTCATACTGCCCCCCCCCCCCCCGTGGGAAACGAACCCACAACCCTGACGTTGCAAGCGCCATGCTCTACCAACTGAGCTACAGGGGACTACGAAATGCCTAGAACATGATAAAAACACAGTGAAAACTAATTCACAATTCTACTTCCTGATCTTGGAGCCTGAGGGTGTAATGTTAGCACATAATAGCACAGGCTACGATTAAGTCGAGGAACAGAGGAGGGAGGAAGGTTGAAACAATACTAACAATGCTAATCTTCCAGTCAGACGGCTGGCTGTCTGTTGCAGCTTCCTCTGTTTCTTCCCCTGTCTTAGTGTTTCTCTGAGCTGTGGCAGAGCGGCCCATGTGACAGGCCGAACGGCAGGCTACTGAAACCGCAGAGACCGACAAAACATAGACAGGAGGACCAGATGGGCCCATAGAGATACATACTGTTCTATTTAATTCTGGGGATGGGCCAAAGGCTACACCTGTAAAAGATCTCTCCTGCCGACTCTATAACCGTCTCTGTCGTCTCTCTCTGTTTCTCTCCCTCTTCTCTGTCATTCCCTCTCTCTTTCCCTGTCCACCTAAACACCTCTACAGTAAAGTAATCCAATGATCACCTTCTCCCCCTCTCCTTATCTCCCCCTCACTTTCTGAAGAATATCCCATCCTTGGTGCCTTGGAGGGACCGCTTTGATGACATTACTAACCAACACCCACAGAGAGGATGGCTACACGTATCGGCGTGGGGGTCGCCTGAGGCTAATGGAGGTTTAATGGGCAACTGATAGAGACGATTAGAGTGGTGGGATTACGACCACTTTACTGCTAATTTACTGTGAAAGTTGTCACTATATGCGGCTAAAGGCTAATGTACTCAGTTTGGTTCATCACAAGAGCTCATAAAGTAATTTGTACTGTGGGATTTAATTGGTCAAAGGGGGTAATTAGTTGAAATGATCTCTTCGTTTGAAGCTTTAAGGTGGCTTATAGGCTAGCTCTGCGTAATGTTGTAAAGGGGATCTTGGCTATTGTTGGCAAAACTCAACTGTGATTAGACTGCTACAGACCTACCGCAGATCTTACTTGAGGTGGTGTAGTGCTATTTTTGCAGCAAACTTGGCTGGCCGCTGCAAGTTGAGGACAGACAGACACACATACACCAGTGGTGGAAAAAGTACCCAAATGTCATACTTGAGTAAAAGTACATCATGTTCTTTAGGAATGTAGTGAAGTAAAAGTTGTCAAAAATATAAATAGTAAAGTAAAGTACAGATACCCCGAAAAACGACTTTAGTACTTTAAAGTATTTTTACTTAAGTACTTTATACCACTGACATACACATCCCTCTGCGCGCTGCTTCTGCAGCTTTTTGCAGTGAGAACATGCAGGGAGGTATTTTACCAACATGACTACCGAGTGGCGCAGTGGTCTAAGGCACTGCATCGCAGTGCTAGCTGTGCCACTAGAGATCCTGGTTCGAGTCCAGGCTCTGTCGCAGCCGGCCGCAACCGGGAGACCCATGGGCGGCACACAATTGGTCCAGCGTCGTCCAAGGTAGGGGAGGGTTTGGCCGGCAGGGATGTGGGTTTGTTTCCCACGGGGGGCCAGTATAAAAAAATAAATAATGTATGCACTCACTAACTGTAAGTCGCTCTGGATAAGAGCGTCTGCTAAATGACTAAAATGTAAATGTAAAGCTATTTAGGCATATTAAAACACTTCCGTGTTTTACCAATCACGAGTATCATCCGATCCAACTATCAAGTTACGGATACGATTACAAATAAGAGTATGGCCATGTTGGCACACCCCTACTTTCATAGCAGCCACATATAAATAGCATGAGCCCTTTGATCGTTGGCTAATTCCTTCTTGCATCAAGCTCTCATTTTTTCCCTTCGCTTGTGCACAACACATCAGCTGTCTGTGACCAGGTGAAAAAACCTTTCTAGGCCAAACCTTCATATCATAAGCACTACACACAGCCTACATCGTTGTCACCATATTAGCTAACATCAAGTCAACATACTGTAGTTACTAGAACTAACAGATTAGAAAACCGCTACAATCATGCAGCACAGTGTACAGTTAGCAAGCAGTTTAGCAGTTACACCAGTGGGCCCCGGTGTAACTGCTAAACTAGGAAGAGTTCCAGTGTTGGATAGCCATAGCCAGCTAGGTAACATAGCATCCGTCTCTGTTTGAGTAGGCTAAACTAGCTAGATGCATTCACTAGCTAAGTAAGTGAAGAAATTCTCACTCTCACTATGCTTGAAAATATGGAGAGTGGTACTCAGTAATGTGTTGTATTGGCCCCCAAACATAACACTTTGTATTCAGGACAAAAAGTTAATTGCTTTGCCAATTTTTTTGCAGTATTACTTTAGTGCCTTGTTGCAAACAGGATAAATGTTTTGGGATATTCTCCTATCACAGTCATTAAACTCTGTACATGTTTTAAAGTCCTCCCTCTCCGGCAACTGAGTTAGAAAGGACGCCTGCATCTTTTGTAGTGACTGGGTGTATTGACACACCATCCAAAGTGTAATTAATAACTTCACCATGCTCAAAGGGATATTCAATGTCTGCTTTTCTAGTTTTACCCATCTACCAATAGTTGCCCTTCTTTGCTAGGCATGGGAAAACCTCCCTGGTCTTTGTGGTCAATGATGAGGCAGTCATTCAAAAATCCATGTAACTTATTATGCGACTTGTTAAGCACATTTTTACTCCTGAACTTATTTAGGCTTTCCTTAACAAAGGGGTTGAATACTTATTGACTCAAGACATTTCAGCTTTTAATTTGTAATTAATTAATTAATTCACACAAACACATCTGCTCTGTATCGTCTTCTCGCCTCACCTTGGTCGGGGTCCAGGCCGAAGAAGGAGTTCTTGCGTCCGAAGCGGATGCTGAAGGCCCTGCCAGACACCGTGGTGGTCTTGGGGTAGGACACCTGCATCAGGTTGACGTGGCAGTTGGTGGGCACAAAGTCCATGCAGCCCAGCGGGTGGGGCAGCACGCCGGCCTGCTTGAACGTGGGGCACGCCTTGTTCCTCAGCTCCTGAGCAAACTGAAAACAACCACAGCTAATGAATTTTTTTATATTTACCGCTATTACATAATGATGGATCAATACTTGCTGCTGATCTGAGTGTCTGTGTGTGTGTGTGTGTGTGTGTGTGGTGGGGGGTGGAGAAGGAGAAAGAGAGAGAGAGAGAGGGAGAGAGAGAGAACTTGAAGACATTTGTAGCTGCTCTTGCACTAGAAAGGGGCTATGATAGAGGGATCCTGTAGTTCCTGTACCTGCTGGTATCTGCTGATTCGCCGGCGGATGCTCTCCAGCTTGGTATCACAGATGTTCCTGAACTCAAACTGGGACATGGACACCACGCGTTCGCTCTGCGAGATCAGCTGGCTGCAGTTACGCACAAAATGACTGTCGTCACTTGCAAAGGCCTCCAGGATCTGACAGGGCAGAGTGGATGTTTTAAGTCCCATTGGGTTCACGTCTTCAAGTTTAAGTTATTTGAAGTGATTTCTGCATGGAGAGAAGAGCATGACGCAACCTGGGAACTATTCACTCCTATTGTTTTCGTCATAAATGCTAATGGTAGAAAATCATGGCTGTGGCTATGCAGTAAAGACAAACCAAAGTGCTTATGCTAATGCTAGGAGACTACAACAACAATGGACATTTCCTGTTCCTTGACGGTAAGGCTGAAGAAGCCTTCAGGCTAGTGCTGAGCGATTAACAAAAAAGTAAGTTACTTTTTGTTTTTTAAACAATTAATTGACGTCCGTTCAATTATTTGAATTCAATTTCATTCGTTTTTCTGTGAGCTCAATGCACAGTTTCTCTAGAGATAAATCCGATCAAGCCCAAACTGTGCGATTTGGTAGGGAGTTTCCAACAGGCCAATATTCTATATAGTTTAAGCACAGAAAACATGGTGATTAACTACAATGACCATAATCCACTGCACGCCTATTTGTCCGGTCTATGCAGGGCACGCAGACACAGAAGAACGCGCAATCGAGAGGGATAGAGAGCAGTTGCTTCGCGAGGTATCTCTATCTGAAAAACATGATCTAATCGATTGATAATTGGTATTCAGCAGTCATAAAAGTATGCCTTCTTTACTTTAAAGAACTACTAAAATAGTGATTTTGTTAGTCAACATAGTTAGCAGCATCATCGACGGGGCTGCAATGAAGCGGGTTGAGACCTTCAAGTTCCTCGGAGACCAAATCACTAAGGACTTTAAATGGTCCACAGTCGTGAAGAAGGCGAGACAGCGCCTCTTTCCCCCGAGGAGGTTGAAAAGATTTGGCAAAAGTTATACAACTTCACCATTGAGAGCATCTAGACTGGCTGCATCACTGCTTGGTATGGAAACTGCTCCACCCTCGATTGCATGGCTTTACATGGCTTAGCTGGTAGAGCACGGCGCTTGTAACGCCGAGGTAGTGGGTTCGATCCCCGGGACCACCCATACACAAAAATGTATGCACGCATGACTGTAAGTCGCTTTGGATAAAAGCGTCTGCTAAGTGGCATATTATATTATTATTATTATCACTGGGGCCGAGCTCCCTGCCATCCAGGACCTCTATATCAGGCGGTGTGAAAAGAAGGCCCGCAAAACTGTTAAAAGACTCCAGCCACCCAAGTCATAGACTGTTCTCTTTGCTTCCGCACAGCAAGTCTGACACCAACAGGCTCCTGAACAGCTTTTATCTCCAAGCCATAAGACTGCTAAATAGCTAACAAAATTGCTACAGTGACTATCTGCATTGACCCTTCTATTTTATAGTCTCTAGGCACATTCTACACTCTCACACATTCATAATGACTCTACAAACATGCACTCACATACAATCATCATATACGCTGCTGCTACACTGTTTATCATCTATCCTGATACCAAGTCACCTTACCCCTATACATATCTATCCCTGCCACTTGTAAATGTGGTATTTGCACTGACCCTGTATACATGTTTCTTACTTATTCCTTTTCTTCCTATTTCTATTTCTCGTGTGTTTTTGTTTGACAATTTGTTTTATTGACAATTTGTTTTATTACTGAATTGTTGGGAAAGAGCAAGCAACAAAATCATTTCACTGTGCTAGTGTACGTGACAAAAAAACGGGAAACTAAACCACACACTGCTGCTAGCATGATAAGAGTAGTGTTAGCATGCTAATACTACAAAAACAATGGACATGTGCTGTACCTTGGTGGTGAGGCTGAAGCAGCTTTGAGCTCCATCATGTACTTCAGCAGTAAACCACACACTGTTGCTAGCGCACTAATACTAAGAGCAGTGTGAGCATGCTAACGCCACAAAAATCAGTGGACGTGTGCTGTACCTTGGCAGTAAGGCTGAAGCAGCCCTTGGGCTCCACCATTTTCTCCAGGACGTGGCTCTTGATGCCGGCTGTGCTGACATACTCGTACACCACGCCGTGCTCCAGGTGCACGTTGTCCACCGTCATGCTCACCAGGGGCACTGTGTCATCAGACAGAGACAGCCGGCTCAGGCCCCCCCTGTAGTCTGGATGGAACACAAAGGGACGCTTTTGAGTGCATACTTTCAAGTACACACCTGTTGGCAGACAGACACGCAGGCACGAACACACACTTCTATAGTGAGGTTGTGTAAGGTACCTGCTCCGTTCCGATTATTTCTCTCTCACGCACACACCACACACTCCTGTGGTGAGGTGGTGTACAGTACCTGTTCCGTTCCTGCCATTCTCCTCCTCTATGTCTGAGCCGTTCTCTGCTGGGCAGGTCCTGAACAAGCCCCCCTCCTCCTCCACGTCCTCAAACGCACGGTACACCCACTGACACTGACAGGACACAGGGAGGGACACACTAGCGTCAAACACTGATGTGTGTGTGTGTCTATCTCTAGGTGTATAATATGCGTGCATACATTCAAGTGTGTGTGTCTATGTTTCTGTGCAAGAGTACAAGTGCTTCTTTGGCATTGACTCACAGAACATGGCACTGGTACAAAAAACACTGGCAAGAACCAGTTGTGTGTGAATGAAGTAAAAGAGACATTAAGATGTGCTCCAAACAGAGTTAAACCAGGTTAAACATCAACAAAGCAGGGGATTGGACAGGAGGAGCCAGGGTAAACATCAACAAAGCAGGGGATTGGACAAGAGGAGAAGAGCCAGAGTAAACATCAACACAGGAGCACCTAATGAAAGAACTCCATAGCACACCCTGCACTGTCCTAAGCTGGATAAAGCCAATATATTTGACATAGTAGGAAAATAAAAATGAGGGGAAAAGTAGGAATATTGGCAGTTCACTGTAAACAATAGAAGAGTGAAATTGAGGATGAGGAAGAACCCTGGTTGTGACGCATTAAACCAAAATCAGCCAAAACCTTGCATGTGACACTGTAGAAGGGAACACACTAGTTTGATGGAAAAACATCTTGACACTGGTAAAAGTAGCAATGTTACATTAGGCTAATGCCATCTTGGTTGAATCTTTGATCATGTATGTTTCCCTAATATTGTGCATACAGTATTAAAACACAGACAGTAAGAATCAGAGGGGGGATGAGACAGGGATTGCACCCTGGTATTCAGCAGGGCGTCCCATGTGTGTACAGAGCCGGTAGTGTTACCGCTGGACCACGGCTCTGCACGCACACTGTGTCTCACCATGTCGTCCTGTTCCTGTTGGTCGCGGTGGGAGGAGGTGAAGTGCTCCAGGACCTCCTTGTAGTCGCTATGGTTCATGTTGTTGCCATTCACCTTCAGGATGCACTGACCTGGCTGGAGGCCTGCCAACGCCGCCTCTGACCCTGTAATCACACAGGGGTCAGGGGTTAAAGTGGGCGGGGACACAGTTCTTATGTGTAATCCTGTACCCACCAATGTCACAGAATGTATGCATGTTGAATGAATGTACACATGCTGTTATTATAGAAAAACAACGTATCGTTATCTATTTGGTCCATTCTGTAAATATTTAGTTTATTCTATTTTATTTGGAAAGATGAAGAACCTATTTATCATTATCAGAGAATAAGGCCTATCCAAGACCATCTGCTCATCAAAGAAGTAGATAGGTGTGTGGCTCAGTTGGAAGAGCATGGCATTAGCAATACCAGGGTTGTGGGTTCGATTCCTGTGGCCACCCATCCTTAAAATGTATGCACACATGACTGTATGTCGCTTTGGATAAAAGCATTGCTATATGGCACTTATTATTATCATTATAATATTATTATAAAGCTATGTGTATAATAATAATTATAGTTCCTATATTATTTTGGTCCTCAAATAACTTGTCTGGTAACACTTTAGCTGTGCCCTAAAATAAGAACAGATCTCCTGTCCCGTTTAAAAATACCAGCCCTAGCATCACTTCCCCGGTCATCCACCTCACACAAAGCACACGACGCCATAACTTCAGTTTAGCAGCCAACCCAAGCAAACCCAATCCTAGCTGTCAACCAGGATCCTGATTTAGGAGGAGAGAGGGAGCTGGGGAGTATGACATCATCATTCAGAAACTCCTATGGGGCCAGTAACTGAAAAGAGCCTGCATGTGTGTGTTTGTTCGTGTGTTTGTGTGATCTAGTGTGTGTGTGTGTGTGCAGCCATGTCACAGAGTGCATGAGCTCCCTCTGACATAATAAAAGAGAAGCAAGACCCCGGGTCGTGACTCCTTCTCCCTTGATGCTGCAGAAAAGAGTCGGCGGCCATATTTCCTCCTTCCTCATCCAACTGTTTTACACATTTGGACCCATCCCTTGTAAATCTGTTTTTTTCCTTCTTCTTTTGCGTTATTTTTTTATATATAAACATCTGCCTAGCAGGCAGCGCACCTGAGTTAGGTTCTGTGTGGGGGGTGGCGCTGTCTTTTATATATTTTTTACTTTGACCCTAGCCTGGCGAACATGTGGTCCTAAAAAGCAGAGCCTCAAGAAACTGGAATTGAAGCAAACAGGTGCATGGCAGGTAACGCCTCATCCTATAATTCTATGTTGTTTAAGGCAGCCCCCCACACCTCTCTGAATCAGAGGAGTTGGGTTAAATGCGGAAGACACATTTCAGTTGAATGCATTCAGTTGTACAACTGACTAGGTATCCCCCTTTCCCTTTCCCCAATCAGAGCGGTTGTTACTCACCTTTCCTTACTGCGTGTACATGAGGTGGGGCAGAGCCACCGAGTTTGAAGGACAGGGCATCGGGAGTGTCTGGAATCTTCACAATCCTATAACAACAAGAGAGTGTGTGTGCGTGAGAAATACATGTGTGTGTAGGTCAGTGGAGGCTCCTCAGAGGAGGAAGGGGAGGACCATCCTCAGTGAATTTCATAAAATAGTGAAGCATTAAAAAAGTTAGCCTTTTTAGATAAAACTATACTTAATATATTCACGTCACCAAATAATTGATTAAAACGCACTGTTTTGCAATGAAGTTCTACAGTAGCCTCAACAGCACTCTGTAGGGTAGCACCATGGTGTAGCCGGAGGAAAGCTAGTTTCCATCCTCCTCTGGGTACATTGACTTCAATACAAAACCTAGGAGGCTCGTCGTTCTCACCCCCTTCCATAGACTTACACAATAATTATGACAACTTCTGGAGGACGTCCTCCAACCTATCAAAGCTCTTGCAGAATGAACTGACATGTTGTCCACCCAATCAAAAGATCAGATAATTAATCTAGTACTGAAAGCTAGCTAGTACTGCAGTGCATATAATGTGGTGAGTAGTTGACTCAAAGAGAGATAAAGACAAAAGTTGAACAGTTTTGAACAAATTAATTTCTTCAAAAATGAAGGAGAAGCAAGAGAGAGAGAGAGAGAGAGAGAGCGCTAGCTATATTTAGTATTTTTTTCACTTTTACTTACTTAGCTAGCAAATGCAGCTAGCTAGTGTAGCCTACTCAAACACCTGGCTCAAACAGAGAAGGATGCTATGTTACCTAGCTGGCTATGGCTATCCAACACTCTTCCAATTCAGAGTAAGCTTTTGGTTTTTATTAATTTATTGCCACCGGGACCCACCGGTGTAACTGCTAAACTACTTGCTAACTGTACACTGTGCTGCATGATTGTAGCGGTTTACTAACGCTTTAGTTCTAGTAAGTATGTTGACTTGATGTTAGCTAATATGGTGACAACGATGTAGGCTGTGTGTAGCTGTTATGATATGAAGGTTTGGACTGGAAAGGTATTTTCACCTGGTCACAGACAGCTGATGTATTGTGCACTGAAGTCCACAAGCGAAGGGAAAAGGTGAAAGGAGAGAGCGTAGATGTGAGAAAAAATTATCCAATGATCAAAGGGCTCATGCTATTTGTATGTGGCTGCTATGAAAGTAGGGGTGTTGCCAACATGGCCATACTCTTATTTGTAATCGTATCCGTAAATTGACAGTTGATAGTCGGATCGGATGATACTCGTGATCGTGATTTAATATGCCTAAATAGATGTTGGCAAAATACCTCACTGCACTTTCTCACTGCAAAAAAGCTGCAGGAGCAGCGTGCAGTGTATGCGTCCTCAACCTGCAGCTGGCAGCCAAGTTTGCTGTCACTCAGTCAGAATGTACATTAGTTTAATATTTTTTCCCTACCCTTGCCCCACTTGATATTACACACATTGCCAGCTTGATAGCAAACATCATTGCCATGTGATTTATCATAGTAGCAGGCAGCAGAAATCTAAATGATCAGACTGAAACGTGAGGAAAAGTGATCAGCTGAAATTATGAAGCGAATGGACGGAGAAATACAGCTTCACTCTATCCAATCAGAGCAGCAGGATCAACGCACAACACATCCTTCTCTTTACAGACAGGCAAACTAGCAGGTTGAGATATTTAGACCGCACATGACTGAACTGAAGACAGTACAGTATGGTTTAGAAACTGACTGACACGATAAAGACGCTTGCTGGCACCCAAATTATTTATACTTTTTTCAATCACGGATAATTCCAAAAAATATTCGGATCATAATCGTACAAAGCCGCAGGAAGTAGTTTGGGGGTGGGTGTGCTGTGATTTTCTTCCCTGTCTTCTCTCTGGCTAATGTTGAAGAACTGTAGGCTACATTTGTGCACTGCAGAGGCCTGTTGGAGGCTTGACAGCTTCAGAACGTTGAAAAAATTAATGATAATCACAGTGTCTGCCTTGATGTTCATAAAACTCCACCGACCTGCTGTTGTGCAGTGGAACTCAGAACGACCAGTTGGTTACAGCAACACCATTCTACCGAGGACATCCAAACCAGATTGGCCACCGCAAAGCCCAAGAGTCTGACCCTCTCTGGAAGTTGCTGTAGCCCTGCTTGGGATATTTAGCCTACATTGGCTATTGGTTGAGAGGCAGGGCCCGTTCTAGCTTGTTAGGCTATGTCAGGGTGGGAAATTGGAAATGTGAATTGGGCCAAGTTGAAGGTAATAATGCATTTAGGTTAAAGTATATTGAGTGCATGAATACACCAAAAGCTTGATTTTTTGGCTGTTTTAAAACGAATTTCCTGTAATCTACATAGTAATTATTTATGTTCACTACTCGGCCAATTTATTTGATGATTAAATATATGCAAATACATTATATGAATTGATAGTTCACCCGTTGATAATTCACCCCTTTTGAATTTCTTTGCCCATGGGAGAAATATATTTCACCCCCCCAGTCCTTTTCCACACAACTTCATCTAACATTGTTGAATGAGTTTCCTGTAAACGATAGATATTATATTCCTTCTCTTTTAGCCAGGTAAATACTCATTGTCTTTTCTTATTATCTGCTAAGCCATTACATTTATAACTGTCTATACTTATTTCACCATTTACCATAATGAGATCCAAGTTTCAAATCTATTTATCATAATATATGTTTGTAAACTCACCATTAAAAAGTACCATAGTGATTGAGTGTCCATATAGCTGTACCATGATATTTGCATTGCTACTAAGTAAACCTCCAATTGTTCCCCACTATTCCACCCGCTAAAACCTCTTCCCATCCCAAGTTGGGTTTTTATCCCAGTGACCAGCAGACCACCTCCGTCCCCCCGGATCCCAGGGCCCTGGAGAGACTGGGACCAATCCTTCGAAAAGAGCACACAGTGCCACCCACAGAACAGAAGCAGATCAACCACCAAAAGCATTTCCATCACCCTCACCTCGATTTGCATTATATATAGTTATTACAAAATATATATATAGAGTACCAGTCAAAGTTTGGCTACACCTACTCATTCCAGGGTTTTTCTTTATTTTTACTATTTTCTCCATTGTAGAATAATAGTGAAGACATCAAAACTATGAAATAACACATATGGAATCATGTAGTAACCTAAAAAGTGTCAAAATATATTTTATATCATGTAGTAACCTAAAAAGTGTCAAAATATATTTTATACTAGCCACCCTTTGCCTTGATGACAGCTTTGCATACTCTTGGCATTCTCTCAACCAGCTTCACCTGGAATGCTTTTCCAACAGTCTTGAAGGAGTTCCCACATATGCTGAGCACTTGTTGGCTGCTTTTCCTTCACTCTGCCGTCCGACTCATCCCAAACCATCTCAATTGGGTTGAGGTCGTGGGATTGTGGAGGCCAGGTCATCTGATGCAGCACTCCATCCCTCTCCTTCTTGGTAAAATAGCTTGGAGGTGTGTTGGGTCATTGTCCTTTTGAAAAACAAATGATAGTCCAACTAAGCCCAAACCAGATGGGATGGCGTATTGCTGCAGAATGCTGTGGTAGCCATGTTGGTTAAGTGTGTCTTGAATTCCAAATAAATCACAGACAGTGTCATCAGCAAAGCACCCCCACACCATAACACCTCCATGCTTTACGGTAGGAACTACACATGTGGAGATAATCAGTTCACCCACACCACGTCTCACAAAGACACGGCGGTTGGAACCAAAAATCTCAAATTTGGACTCCAGACCAAAGCACAAATGTCCACCGGTCTAATGTCCATTGCTCGTGTTTCTTGGCCCAAGCAGGTCTATTCTTCTTATTGGTGTCCTTTAGTTGTGGTTTCTTTGCAGCAATTCAACCATCAAGGCCTGATTCACACAGTCCCCTCTGAACAGTTGATGTTGAGATGTGTCTGTGACTTGAACTCTGTGAAGCATTTATTTGGGCTGCAATTTCTGAGGCTGGTAACTCTAATGAACTTATCCTCTGCAGCAGAGGTAACTCTGGGTCTTCCATTCCTGTGTCGGTCCTCATGAGAGCCAGTTTCATCATAGCGCATTATGGTTTTTGCGACTGCACTTGAAGAGACGTTCAAAGTTCTTGACATTTTCCGTATTGACTGACCTTCATGTCTTAAAGTAATGAAGGACTGTCATTTCTCTTTGCTGATTTGAGCTGTTCTTGCTATAATATGGACTTGGTATTTTACCAAATAGGGCTATATTCTGTATACCTACCTTATCACAACACTACTGATTGGCTCAAACGCATTAAGGAAAGAAATTCCACAAATTAACTTTTAAGAAGGCACACCTGTTAATTGAAATGCATTCCAGGTGACTACCTCATGAAGCTGGTTGAGAGAATGCCAAGAGTGTGCAAAGCTATCATCAAGGCAAAGGGTGCCTATTTGAAGAATCTCAAATATATTTGGATTTGTTTAACACTTCTTTGGTTACTACATGATTCCATATGTGTTCTTTCATAGTTTTGATGTCATCACTATTATTCTACAATGTAAATTTTTTTAAAAATAAAGACAAACCCTGGAATGATTAGGTGTGTCCAAACTTTTGACTGGTAGTGTATATACAGTGAGCACCATAATTCATTGGATAGTGACCATTTAAAAAAAAAATTTGGTTCTGTACTCTAGCACTTTGAGTTTGAAAGGATACAATGAGGGTGACAATGAGACTGTCAGCTTTAATTTGAGGGTATTTTCATACATATCGGATGAACCGTTTAGAAATGACAGCACCTTTTGTACATGGTCCCCCCCATTTTTGTGCATCAAAAAACATTGGACAGTTTAACATAATGTAGAATAAAGTAATCATTGTTAATATTTGGTCGTATATCCTTTGCATGCAATGACTGCTTGAAGTCTGCGATGCATCGACATCACCAGACGCTGGGTATCCTCCCTGGTGATGCTCTGCCAGGCCTGTACTGCAGCCATCTTCAGTTCCTGCTTGTTTCAGTGACTTATTGCCTTCAGCTTCCTCTTCAGCATGTAAAATGCATGTTCAATTGGATTCAGATCCGGTGATTGACTCAGCCAGTCAAGGATTTTCCACTTTTTGGCCATCAAAAACCCCTTCGTTGCTCTAGCAGTATGTTTAGGGTCATTGTCTTGTTGCATGATGAAGTGCCGTCCAATGAGTTTGGAGGCATTTGGTTTTATCTGAGCAGATAAAATAAGTGAGCCTGTTCCACTGGCAGCCATACAGGCCCAAGCCATAACACCCCCTCCACCATGTTTCACAGATGAGGTGGTATGCTTTGGATCATGGGCATTTCTTTTTTTTCTCCACACTTTCCTCTTTCCATCACTCTGGTACATGTTAATATTTGTCTCATCTGTCCACAATACTTTTTTCCATAACTCTTGGGGCTCTTTTAGGTGCTTTTTAGCAAACTGCTTATCAGTGGTTTGCATCTTGTAGTGTACCCTCTGTAGTCCTGCTGGTGTAGTCTTCTATGTATGGTAGACTTTAACACATCTACACCTGCATCCAGGAGAGTGTTTCTGATCTGTTGGGCTGTTGTCAGGGGGGTTTTCTTCACTATAGAGAGTATTCTTCGGTCATCCACTACAGTGGTCTTCCTCGGTCTACCAGGTCTTTTCACATAATTGAGTTCACCGGTAGTTTTTTTCTTGTTAATGATGAAACAAACTGTTGACTTGGGCATGGCCAGGGTTTTTGCAATGTTCTTGATTGATTAATTTTCATTTCTGAGCGTTATGACGGCCAGCTTCATTTGCATCGACACTGCAGTCTTCCTCATGTTGTCACACCCCAAACATAACCTCCAAAGGCAATAGCAAAGTCTAGAATCAATACTATTCATAAACAGCTCTCCTGCATTCACTAACGACACAAATGAATACACCTGCCTAATGACACACATCTGTGAAGCCAATTTAACAAATACTTGCAGTACCTTAAAATGGGGGGACCATGTACAAAAGGTGCTGTCATTTCTAAATGTATGAAAATACCCTCAAATTAAAGCTGTCAGTCTGCACTTCACCCTCATTGTCATTGTATCCTTTCCAACTCAAAGTGCTAGAGTACAGAACCTAAATTGTCACGATCGTCGTTAAGAGAGGAGGACCAAGGCGCAGCGTGATGAACGAACATGTTTATTTATCATTAGCGATAAACACGGACAGTAAACAAAAACAACAAACCACTCGTAACGTCCTAGGTAACATAGACCAACACGGAACAAGAACCCACAAACACAAAGGGAAAAACAGACAGTTTAAATATGGCTCCCAATCAGAGACAACCAGCCACAGCTGACACTCGTTGCCTCTGATTGGGAGTCACTCAGGCCAACATAGAAATAAACAAACTAGAAAGAACACACCCTGGCTCAACATATAGAGTCCCAGAGCCAGGGTGTTACATAAATAACAAAATAATGGTCACTGTCCAATGAATTATGTTGCTCACTGTATGTAAAATCCTGCGTATCTTAACATCCATAATTAACAAATAATATTCGTAATAATGTAGGCAGTTCATGCAAAGGATTGTTACCTCTAACCAGGATTGCCAATACAAAAATTACATTTTTGGCGATTCATCTTATATTGTCCCTAACATGATTACTCCCTAGCAACATCTGTTTTACTTTATTCTGTAATAGGGTATATTGTAACCATGTGCTCAAGCTAATTAAATCAAATCTGTCCTTTTAGAGTATGGAGGACTAAAAGTGCCACAATTAAATAAATAAATACACCATTAAATAATTACTTAAATGTGTCATTAATTAATTCAAATTAGAATTAAATACATAAATGTGTAATTAAATGTATCATTAATTAATTCAAATACCGATTCATTTTATGTAAAATACATATATAATTATTTCACTATTTACATTTACATTTCATGATCCTGCATTGCAGTGATTCATGAATTACTTAAAACTGTCAAACTGACCCATCAAAGTCAGTGGGCGGGGCTAACGCGAATCTAGTCCGATCCATTGCTTTGGTCTGAAGTAGAGTAGGCCAACCTGGATAGAGACAATGGAGGATCTCCGTGAACTTTCCAGGGAGTTGGTTAGAGACATTTTAAACTTAGCAGAGGATGTAGAAGCAGGACCTGCTGACATTATCCGGAATTGATTTGTCTTGGCTTGATGCAGAGGGTAACCAATCAGGCGTTAGGTTCCGCCTACCAACTTTTGATGGGTCAGTTTGACAGTTTTAAGTAATTCAGGAAGCACTCCAACGCAGGACCATGAAATGTAAATGTAAATAGTGAAATTATTATATATGTATTTTACATAAAATGAATCGGTATTTGAATTAATTAATGATACATTTAATTACACATTTATGTATTTAATTCTAATTTGAATTAATTAATGACACATTTAAGTAATTATTTAATGGTGTATTTATTTATTTAATTGTGGCACTTTTAGTCCTCCATATTAGAGCCACAAAGGGCGCTCCAATCGTTTAAAACAACACTCATCAAGATCTGTTACCTATACACCTAATAGTCCTACTTATCCCTTATTATGATTATTATTATTATAATAAATAGAAGATTATCACTTCTCATAATGGTGCTCGTTTAGTCAAGTTAGATCAAAGCTGAATCAATGTATTGCAAGTTCACATAACGATTAATTACACCTAATTTCTAATAAGATTTTAGGAACGTTAGCTTTAGCTGAAAAGTAAAAAAATATATATAATACGCAAAAACTATAGGCAGGATATATGCTTTGATTGAAACAAAATACAAAAGAGGCTAATAGTTTGTTAACATCTGCTGTAATTCGCTCACAAAAACAGTAATTCAAGAAGATCGAAATGCATAGGCTATTCCCATGAAACTAATTCTGCGCAATCAAATGATTGGCATGTTGGCAGTTTCACCGGTAAAACGTGAATAATTATAATTCATGATTGACAGTGATGATGGCCTATAGGTATGCCTAACTTGGTGTTTGAGACAATATGTGTGGTCATAGGTAGACGTTGCAATTGGATACATTTTATGAATACTTTATAACAGGGATCCCCAACCCAGTGCCTGGAGAGCTACCATCCTGTAGGTTTTCATTCCAACCCTAATCTAGCACACCTAATTCTAATAATTAGCTGGTTTATACGATGAATGGGGTTAGTTACAACTGGGGTTGGATTGAAACCCTACAGGACAGTAGCGATCCAGGAACAGGGTTGTCAGTACAAACTTTGATTGAGGAAATTATGGCGTCATTTACATATTCTTTGCGCTCCCTCATCTACAAAAATAGCACTACACCACCGCAAGTAAGATGTGCGGTAGGTCTGTAGCCGGTGGTGTCTGTGTGCTGCATGTGTTCCCCGCTGGCTTCATCCATCTGAGCAGAAGCCAAAGTGAACTACTTTTGTGAAGAAATAAACTTTTTTATTTATATATTTTTTAAATTCCGATTTTTCAGGGGGTGCTGCAGCATGCTCAGCACCCCTACTTCCTGCGGCTATGTAATCGTATGCAGAAAATTGCCCATATCTGTTACGATACTCGTTTTGTCTGATTACTCGGCACACCCCTATATGAAATTGAACTGTGTTTGCGTATGATCAGGGGTGTATTCATTCCGCCTATTCTGTTGAAAAACGTTTCTTAAACAGAAGCAATGTCCAATAGAAACTCTTGTTTGCAACGGTTGGACTAATAATAATATAATAAATAATAATAATAATAATAATAATAATAATAATAATAATAATAAATAATATGCCATTTAGCAGACGCTTTTATCCAAAGCGACTTACAGTCATGCGTGCATACATTTTTTTGTGTATGGGTGGTCCCGGGGATCGAACCCACTACCTTGGCGTTTCAAGCGCCGTGCTCTACCAGCTGAGCTACAGAGGACCAATGATTACACCCTAGATCAGCTAGATGCAGGCAAGATTGTGCAAGGCAGTATTGAATGTGTCAATGTCTGTCACCTTGAATACTCAAATTTCTCTCGACCTGTGCACCTACGTTGTAAACTTTCATTCATAGGCTAGGTTGTAGCAACCTCATGATGGGTATAGGGAAAATTTGAGTATCATGTAGTAACCTAAACCTATTGGTGTTACATTCATCTGGGTGAATCGAATATGACCGTCTTCCAATATGCTGTAATAGAAATAAGGCCATGCTCATTAAAAAATAATCGTCCTCGCTCATCTTAAACAGCACCGACTGCCACTAGTGTAGGTGTGTAGAGGACACTTGTGTGTGTGTGTGTGTGTACACATGCCTGTGTGTGCATGCATACTATTGTACTCACTCCTTGGCTTTGGTGTTGACCAGCAGGCGTAGGGAGCGGCGGATGCAGAAGGCCTGGTTGATCATGGTCGCCACCTCCTGGAAGGGCCTGAGGAACACCAGGTCCTCATTGATGGTGAAGATCTTCCTGCCCGCCTGCAGCCCCGCCATCTGGAGGGGAGGATGGAGAGAGAGACAACAACAGTGGCGCATCAGGGTAGGTTGTCTCTTCATTTCATGGTACGTTGGCGGCCATTTTGTTTTTCAAATGTAAAATAGCGTGTGAATCATTTTCAACCAGATGGATTTTGTACTGTAGATATGTGGTAGTGGTGGAGTAGGGGCCTGAGGGCACACAGTGTGTTGTGAAATATGTAAATGTATTGTAATGTTTTAAAAATTGTATGAACTGCCTTAATTTTGCTGGACCCCAGGAAGAGTAGCTGCTGCCTGGGCAGCAGCTAATGGGGATCCATAATAAATACAAATACAAATACTGGTGTCGCGCTTGGCTTTGCATGTCTGGGGGGCTGGTAGAACAGGGAGGCACAGTGGCCCTCAGTGAGTGAGTGCCTGCATGCGTTTTCACATTTGTGTGTTTGGTATTCTCCCCGCAACCCTCCCGGAGTCCATGAGTCTCCCAGGGTTTTTTCACTGGGCCCTGGGAATCAGCTGGGCCTCATTCACAAAGCACACAGACAGACGGACTCAGTGTTTGGCCAGTCTCGGATTCACACGCTCTGTGTCAGCCAGGGCCCAACTACACTGGCACTGTCTGGAGCGGAGGAGGGGAGCAATAGAGAGGGGATGAGGAGGAGTGAGATGGTGTGGGAACGAGTGAGGGGGAAAATAGGGTAGGGGACACAGAGGAAATGTGAGTGATTCATTTTAGGAACTGTAGGGATTATGGTACCACTGTAGGCCTTAGGGCGGGAGAAGTGAGATGGAGTGGGCAGGGAACAAGGGGGGGGGGAGTAAGACATTAAAGGGACACTGAGGGACAGTTAGGGAAGGAGTGCTGTAAGGCTGCATTTACCAATCCCTTCCTCAGGGATCCCCAGTCATTGCACATATGCTCTGATTCAACTAGTCAACAAGACCTTGAGGAGTTAATTCAAAAAGAAAGAAAGAAAGAAAGAAAGAAAGAAAGAAAGAAAGAAAGAAAGAAAGAAAGAAAGAAAGAAAGAAAGAAAGAAAGAAAGAAAGAAAGAAAGAAAGAAAGAAAGAAAGAAAGAAAGAAAGAAAGAAAGAAAGAAAGAAAGAAAGAAAGAAAGAAAGAAAGAAAGAAAGAAAGAAAGAAAGGGCTGTCCTCCAGCTGCAGACAGAGAGACAGATAAAGACGTACGCACACACACGTACGCAGAGAGAGCTGAGATGTCAGTGTGTTGTGGCAGTGAGGAGAATGTAAGCAGGCATGTCTAATAGGTCTGATCTGATCCCCACACTGAGAATAAAGCCCCCATGAGGAGAGGGACAGGTGGAGTGACAGCACCACCACTGCCTCACACATTGGGACTAATGGGCTCTGTCAGAGAGGAGGAGGAAGCATAGGAAGGTGTGTGTGTATGTGTGTATTTTACGTGTCTGTGTGTGCGTGTGTGTGTCATCTTCATCTGTGTGTGTGTTTGTTTGTAGACTCCTCACCTCAGCGTGAGAGCCCCTGGTGACAGACCTCACCACGATGGCCTTGTTCTTCTCCTCGATCTCAAAGCCATAGTCTTCCTCCTCCGGGTGGATCTATGGGGAGACAAACATCATCAACAAAGGAGCTTAGATTCATTCATTAATTTATGCATTAGATCAACGAACCAACAAAATCAGGACATTTTATCTGGCACTCGTTGTGCGGTCAATAACAAGCAAATGACACAATGGCAATGACAGACCTGGGTCAAATACGTACATCACATTTGGGTTTATTTGTGACTATTCCATTACCGAGCACTAACGCGAGCATCGGCAATTGCCAGGTGGGGGTTATTTCCCTGCTGCATAGTTGTGATAAGATGGCTATTGCTAACGCCCGTCTGAGGAGACGGGTAACAGGAGAACGGTTAAACAATGGGCTCAGCAGCGTCAAGGAGCTGTGTGTGTATGTTGGGGTCCATCACTTCAATCACAGCTGTAAGGACTGGGAAGGATTAGCATTTGAGCTAATCATTAGGGATGGGGCATCTCCAAGCAAAACAAAAATGTCTACTTCCTCATTCGTTAGCCTGGCAATGTAGCTCAATGTAACTCTCAGTTTCCCACCATTTTCTTAAGAGGTTAAGGGGGTTCGAAATTCCTCTCATTCTTCCAGCACCTGTTGGTAAATGTGACCAATTCTGATATTTTGTGTGTTTTTTTTTTCTGGACATCAGAAAGCGATCACTAACCTCGATTTGGATAACAATTTCTACTTCAATGAGTCGGCAGCTCTGGACGTTCTGCTTACTCCAGACCAGGCCATAATCCCCTGGACTCGAAAGAGGAAGCGACGATGCAAGAGAGGCAGACGAGCCAGTATCCTGATAAGATTACGTTGGCGAGCAAATAAACCACCTCTACCTTCCGTTCTATTGGCGAACGTACAGTTACTAGAGAACAAACTGGAGGAGCTCCGTTCGAGACTATCCTATCAACGGGACCTGAAGAATTGTAATATTCTAAGTTCCTCGTAGTCGTGGCTGAACAAGGACATGGATAATTTACATCTCGCTGGTTTTTCCATGCATCTTCAAGACCGGACGGCAGCCTCGGGTAAGACGAACAGGGAGGGTTGTATCTATTTCTTAACAACAGCTGGTGCGTGATCTCTAATGTTAAGGAAGTCTCTAGTTTTTGCTCGCCTGAGTTGGAATACCTCATGATAAGCTGCAGACCACACTATTGACCAATGTATTTATAGCTGTATATTTATCACCACAAACCGTTTCTGGCACTAAGACCAAACTCAACGAGCTGTATAGGAAAACAAGAAAATACACATCTCGTGGCTGGTGATTTTAATGAAGGGAAACTGAAATCATATTTACCAGCAGGTCACCTGTGCAACTAGAGGCGACAAAACTCTAGACCACCTTTACTCCACATACAGAAACACATACAAGGCTCGCCCTCCATTTGGAAAATCTGACCATAACTCTTTACTCCTGTTTAATGCATACAAGCAAAAACTCAAACAGGAAGTACCAGTGACGCTCAATATGGGAATGGTCCGATAAAGCGGATGCTAAGCTACAGAACTGTTTCACTAGTGCAGACTGGAATATGTTCCAGGATTCATCCGATAACATTGAGGAGTTCACCACATCAGTCCCGGCTTCATTAATGGCGTCATCCCCACAATGACCGTACGTACATACAGTGGGGAAAAAAAGTATTTAGTCAGCCACCAATTGTGCAAGTTCTCCCACTTAAAAAGATGAGAGAGGCCTGTAATTTTCATCATAGGTACACGTCAACTATGACAGACAAAATGAGATTTTTTTTCTCCAGAAAATCACATTGTAGGATTTTTTATGAATTTATTTGCAAATTATGGTGGAAAATAAGTATTTGGTCAATAACAAAAGTTTCTCAATACTTTGTTATATACCCTTTGTTGGCAATGACACAGGTCAAACGTTTTCTGTAAGTCTTCACAAGGTTTTCACACACTGTTGCTGGTATTTTGGCCCATTCCTCCATGCAGATCTCCTCTAGAGCAGTGATGTTTTGGGGCTGTCGCTGGGCAACACGGACTTTCAACTCCCTCCAAAGATTTTCTATGGGGTTGAGATCTGGAGACTGGCTAGGCCACTTCAGGACCTTGAAATGCTTCTTACGAAGCCACTCCTTCGTTGCCCGGGTGGTGTGTTTGGGATCATTGTCATGCTGAAAGACCCAGCCACGTTTCATCTTCAATGCCCTTGCTGACGGAAGGAGGTTTTCACTCAAAACCTCACGATACATGGCCCCATTCATTCTTTCCTTTACACGGATCAGTTGTCCTGGTCCCTTTGCAGAAAAACAGCCCCAAAGCATGATGTTTCCACCCCCATGCTTCACAGTAGGTATGGTGTTCTTTGGATGCAACTCAGCATTCTTTGTCCTCCAAACACGACGAGTTGAGTTTTTACCAAAAAGTAATATTTTGGTTTCATCTGACCATATGACATTCTCCCAATCCTCTTCTGGATCATCCAAATGCACTCTAGCAAACTTCAGACGGGCCTGGACATGTACTGGCTTAAGCAGGGGGACACGTCTTGCACTGCAGGATTTGAGTCCCTGGCGGCGTAGTGTGTTACAGATGATAGGCTTTATTACTTTGGTCCCAGCTCTCTGCAGGTCATTCACTAGGTCCCCCTGTGTGGTTCTGGGATTTTTGCTCACCGTTCTTGTGATCATTTTGACCCCACGGGGTGAGATCTTGCGTGGAGCCCCAGATCGAGGGAGATTATCAGTGGTCTGGTCTTCCAATTTCCTAATAATTGCTCCCACAGTTGACATCTTCAAACAAAGCAGCTTACCTATTGCAGATTCAGTCTTCCCAGCCTGGTGCAGGTCTAAAATGTTGTTTCTGGTGTCCTTTGACAGCTCTTTGGTCTTGGCCATAGTGGAGTTTGGAGTGTGACTGTTTGAGGTTGTGGACAGGTGTCTTTTATACTGATAACAAGTTCAAACAGGTGCCATTAATATAGGTAACGAGTGGAGGACAGAGGAGCCTCTTAAAGAAGAAGTTACAGGTCTGTGAGAGCCAAAAATCTTGCTTGTTTGTAGGTGACCAAATACTTATTTTCCACCATAATTTGCAAATAAATTCATAAAAAATCCTACAATGTGACTTTCTGGATTTTTTTTTCTAAATTTGTCTGTCATAGTTGACGTGTACCTATGATGAAAATTACAGGCCTCTCTCATCTTTTTAAGTGGGAGAACTTGCACAATTGGTGGCTGACTAAATACTGTTTTTCTCCACTGTATCCCAACCAGAAGACATGAATTACAGGCAACATCCACAATGAGCTAAAGGCTAGAGCTGCAGCTTTCAAGAAGCAGGACACTAATCCTGATGCTTATAAGAAATCCACTATGACCTCCGACGAGACATCAAACAGGCTAAGCGTCAATATAGGACTAAGATCGAATCCTACTATGCCGGCTCTGACACTCGTCGGATGTGGCAGGGCTGGCAAACTATCACA